GGAAAGAACAGCAAATGCTTTGATGGCTTCAAATCCATGAGTAACTCCCTGAAGTTTGCCTTGAGTTTGCAAGTGTGAGGTCTCCATGGTCCCATGCTATTTCATGTTTAGAATCAAGTTTCCTTGGGAAAGGTCATGGAGTTGTGCAGGAGAGAACTTCACTGCCTTGTGGGGAACTTGAGTCCAGCTCATTGACCTCATTGTTATTAAATAGTCTACAACTGACTTCTTGTTGACTAATTTGTAGTATCTCTCTCCAATTTTTTTTTAGCTTGCTAATGACAAATGCTAAAAAGAAAACATGACTGTAGTTTTATTACAGATCTTCTAATAGATATAGTACCTCTTCTGATGCCTATGCAGATATATTGGCAAAATTTGTAGCATGATTCCAGATATTGTTATTATCTAGGTCAGATCACATGGTCAGTGCGATGCACCTAGCAAGACTGGACTGGCAGGTAGCAGAAGAGTTTTTGAAGTTAAGCATGTTTAGAAAAAAATGAGGTAGCTAGTTGTGATATAACGGAAATATCCCTGGAATCTTCTGGAAGAGGCAGTTGTCAGTGAAGTATAGAAGGTCTGGGTGTCTTCTTTCGCCTAATAACTTAATTTTAAGACTGTGCGTATTCTCTACTAATGCCTGTTTTTCTCTTGTCCATTTGTGGCAAGGATGTTGGATTTCGATTTGACACACTCCGTACCATCCTGGAACAGGAAGTTCTGCTGCAGGAGGATGTGGAACTGATTGAGTTGCTTGACCCCAGTATCCTGTCTGCAGGGCAGTGCAAGCAACAGGAAAATGGACAGCTTCCAACACTACGCTCCCTAGCAACTCCTAATATTTGGTATTGTACAGAAAATGTGTGTGACTATATTCACTGAGAAGCAAGAAAAATTATTGTGTTCTTGGTATAGAACGCAACAAGAAAGTAACTTTTTTTGGTCTAAGGTCTCTGAGTCTTGATTTTAGTTCGGTCTGCTAGTTCCAAATCTTGGAGAAGTGTATTTTTTCCTTGGACATTCTACTGAAATATGAGGTAGCTCCATGAGCATAAATGGATACTTACAAACTCTATTACATGCTGCCTGGAAAAAGTAATATGGCTGATTTAATTTCGAAAGCTATGTAGTGGTGATTTGGAAGTGGCTATTCCATTGCTGAGTTGAAAAGTGCCTAACTGAATTTGTAGTAAATTAGTTAACATTGTTTAATAGTTTGCTAAGTGATCTTCTTTTAGTTTTCTGAGTAAATGTAGGTCTCAGTTTAACCCCCTCCTGGGTAGTGATTGTCTTCCACACTCCATTTTAATATATTTGTGTAATGTTATAGTGAGAAGCGTGTGCGTGATTTGAGTAGCTACATATTCTACACACACATGCTCTCTTACACACTCTTAAGAGTATATGATGTAGTGTACATAGTAGTGTAAAAGGGATGTACCATCTGTGCTTTCATTGCAAGATTTGTTATCTACAGATCTGCTAACAGTTAATCCCACCTATGTCTGAATTCCTATCTCAGGATTGGACACTAGAATAGAAAGGTTGGTTCAAGAAAGACTAGCAGTGGGAAATGTAAATATTGGTACAGAAGAGTTTAACTGATGCAATGTGAAAAAGAGAAGAGATTTTGCTTTTCTTGCTCTGGAATACAGGAGGATTCTCAAGGTATTTAACAAAAAAAAAAGAAAAAAAAGAAAAAAAAAAAAAAAGGAAGTTATTTGGGGAAGCAGCCCCAAATTTAGATTTGCTTCTGAGTAACTGGGGAAACCTATCTTGTTATTGGCCTGTCTAGTTAACTAAGAAACTTAACTAGAAACCTTTCTCAAATCACTCTTTTTAAAATATTTTATTTATATAACTAAGAGACTGCTAAGATAATCAAATGGACTTTGCTAAGATAGCACTAACAATTTAACACCTTTAATAAAGAAGAAGAGAGGCAGAAATTTCAGATATCAGTCTTGCTGTCTGCATGTCCTCTTAATGTCACTGAGCAGAGCTATTTAGACTTCTTTGTTCTCTGCACCGGAATTTGGATGAAAGTGATTGCATGGGAATATAAGGAATAGAGCTCATAATACTTAGTGAAGAAGAATAAATAACAGTGATTTGAATATTTAAATGTTCAGTGTCGTCTTTGTTGTGGTCTTTATATAGCATGTTAATTGTGAATGGAGCAATTAATTTCACAGGTGTAGAATTCCAGAACAGGCTAAATATTTAAATAAGATACACTTAAGTTAGCAGAAGCTAGTGAAGTTCACCCTAAAATACTGAAGGATTTAGCTGCAGCAGTGTCTAAACAACTACTTCTAGTTTTTGAGAAGTGAGAAGGGTGCTGGGCGATCTGACAGAGTGATTTGCTCAGGAACAGACAAGAATTGATAGATATGATATCTTCTAACACAGTCCAGTAGTAGGTAAATAGATGGAATTATTATAAAGCCAAAACAGGTTAAAAATGATCTAAGATACAAAGTGTCATTATTGATGCTTACTATCAAATGGGAGAGCATTTCAGTTAGATTTCTCCAGTGGTTTGTCCTCGTCTTAGCACTATTCATTGTTTCATTAACTGCTTGGGTAGCAAAGTACGCTTACAAAATTTGTGAATATCATTCAGTTTACAGACGACACCAAGTTTGTAAGAGTTTGAGCAGATAGGGTAGGAGTTCAGAAGGATCATGACAAATTGGAGAGTTATCTTGAAATCAATAGGAAATTCAATAAAGACAAGTGTATACTTTGGAAGGAAGAATTAAATTAACAAACATAAAGTAGGGAATAATTGGGTAGACAGTACTACAGAAAAGGATCTGCCCATTATAGCAGACTATGAATTGAATGAGTCAGGAAATTATTCCCAAAATGGCAAATCTCATCCTGGAATCCTTGTTATGTGCAAGACACAGGATTTTACTTTTCTCTCTGCTTCCCTAAGTCTAGAGCAACTGTTTTGGGATGCCACACACTGAGAGGCTTAGGTAGTTTAGAGAGAGGCCAAGCAGAGCAAAGAATAAGACATTTAGAAAACGTAGTCTTTTGGGAAAGTTTGAGGGAGCTAGGATTGCTTGACCAAAATGAAGACGATTGAGGACGGACAGAACAGTCTTATGACGAGCAGAAGGTAATTAATATGAGGGTGATGGTCAGTCATTGTCCATTCTGTGGTGAAAAGGGAAGGATATGAGGAAAAATAATTGGCTTAATTTGTCAATGATTTAGGTTGGACTTGGGGGAAATTTTCTGCCCAATAAGGGTAGTAAAGCACTGGAATAGCTAACTAGGTGGGTTATGGAATCTTCACTTTCTTCTTCAGTCTGTCAGTGATGGTCTAGATTAACTGGAATCTGTCTCAAAGCTGAAAATAGACCAAGTGATCTGTTAAATACCTTCCAGTCCTTCATTTTTATGATTTTTTTTCTAGTATACCAAGGAAGTTATAGAAAGATATGAATGCTATACAAATGAACGGTTCTCTCTTGCCTAGAGAAGATCTTGTTTATAGCCTTTTTCTTTTCAGGTTGCATCTGTCTTTTTTTAAAGTTAGTTCCATCTCTGGAATGTTTTAACCCTGGGCCTTTACTGAAACCTATGAGTAGCACTGAAGAGTTAACTCTTGTAAAGCTTATTGAAATATGACTACAAAGCTGTCCAGAAACTAGAAGCCCAGCAGTCATATTTTGACTTGGAAATGGGGAAGTATTCCTTGTGGATATTTTCAAGAGCAAGTATATAGGATACACGGCTTTAAGGGATGAAGAAAATGAAGATTTTTCTATAAAAATGCTTTAAAAATATACTTTTTCACACCTTGAAGCCCATATCCCATCCATTTTTGCGAAGACTGTAATAATTATAGTTTTACAAAATTGCAGTTATAATACTATATATAAAGCATAGTTTATTTTCTAGCAGTTACCTATTTTTATGGAATCCTGCCAAATGAAAATAACAGTTTTACGAAGTTTTAAAAATGCCCTTGAGAAACAGTTGATGTGAGACACCTAATGACTCTTGTTCTTTAAGGATTTTTTAAAGCCGAAAAATTATTTACAATGATCCTTGAAACTGTGTGTCTTAAAATGTGTTTAAAAGCTAGTGGTGTGATGAGTCAGAATCTGGAAAAAATAAATCTGTCATTACTTGAGGATTTCGTTACCCAAAAGAAACATGCCCTTTGCTATTGTCCTCTTGAACCTGGAAGTACAGATATTCCAGTTGCTATCCACCCTGGCTTAAAATGCTGAGCAGTCACTTTTTTTTTTTTCAGTCATGTCTGTAAGAGAAACTGACCTGCCAAAATGGTACATCATTCTTCCACTTGTGTCATTTCAAAAAACAAATTATAATATAATATGTACTGACCAATAATATCATGCATCTATACATGTAAATCTACGACTTAGGAGTTGTTTTTTGGTATTTACAGCTCCCTTCAGAACCTGCTAAAAGCCCCATAATAAAATCTCAAATGTCATGGTCAAATACTTCATAATTTTCCCACAATCCCTCAGAAATATGTGGATGATGCTACTTTCTCTGTTTGCAGGGATGTCTCACTGTTGCTTGCCTTTGTAAGTGCACTGCTTATGCTTCCTTCGTGGTGGAAGGAATCATCTTGGCTGCTGTGGGGACTAGTTCTGCTTGTCTATGCCATCTTACGAGTTTGGGGCACATGGAGGACAGCCAAGCTGCAAATGTCCCTGCGAAAATACTGCCTTCAGCTGGAAGAAACAGTGGCAAATAGCCGAGCTTTTACTAATCTTGTGAGAAAAGCTCTGCGACTCATTCAAGAGACTGAAGTCATTTCCAGAGGATTTACCCTGTGAGTCTATATTTCACTTTATTTAATACACAGATCCATTCAAGCAAGATGTCTTCTAAAATGTCCCGTGACACTGTTTCCCATGGTGAATGAAATTAATGAGGAACATAACACTTTAAGCTTTTCACGTAGAAAGTGAAAAGTAGAATAGTATAATTACCATAGTTATGTTCATCAGGATAGAAATATGTATCATAACAACTAGATGTTAAAACTATGCATCCTGAAGGAGAACTAAGTCTCCCAAAATGTTTCAAATTGGGCACCTATACCTTTTGAAAATCTCTTCCAATGCTATCAGTGAAATAAATGAGTGCAATGGACTCTGAACCAATGTAGTTAACCATTTTCAGGAGTAATTTAGAGGGTTGGATTTTTTAGTATCTTATGTTACCAAAGCAGTGTAAATAAACTGACCTGCAAGTAATAATTCATATTTTAGTATACAAGATGAAAACAATTTTTATTTAACAAATAATAGTCTTAAGCAATGAGAACACAGTAATCAGAAGAGACAATCAAAGGTCATTTCCTCCCTTTAAACAGTTTTAAGCATTTTTTTTTCTTGTGTACAGTTGTTGAGATGTTTAGAACCTCAAATGATTTGCGGCTGAATTTGCCTCTGTCCACTTAAAGGATATGAGAGTGTTCCTAGTTATTTAGCTCTTGTAGCTAATTGGCTACTGTTTGCTTATTTGCTTTGTGGAAGGACACTAGAACATGTTCAGTGTGTGCACTGATCTTAAAGGCAACAGGCCCACCTGTGAGCATTCTCCCTGCCAGGTGTCCTTTTCTCTTGAAGCAAGCTATTGTTAGAAAATTACCTGAGCCAGTTAGACTTAAGGTTAAAGGAGGTGAGAAACACCAGTAACTAAAATCCAGTTGACTTCTTTCTGAAAACAGTAAAAATTCCCGTGTGCACCGAGAGATTGTTTGCTCATGCCAGATCAACTCTTGTACTCTCAAGTGCATGTTGTTACATGCAAGCTTGAAACCGTAGACTTCACATTTTGAATTAATTTTCTAGCTTGAGATACCTTCATTATGCTTCATTGAAGAAATATTTTATTCTCCCTTTGGAATGTGTAAGCATAGTCTTAGCTATGTTTTTTTTTTTTTTGCTGAGGAAGCATATAGTTAAGCAATAGTCAGTCTTATCTTTGCAAACGAATTCTTAAAAGAAATTATTGTTAGGGCTTGTCCAAATTACAAATGAGGAAAATATTTGGATTTTTTCCGAAGTTTAGGCAAATGAACTTGTGGTCAATGTCTAAATGGCTGGTTCCTTGTTCCTTTACAACATATCTTAGATAACAGATTAACAATAAACAGACTGTCTATAAGCTGATGCTAGATCTAATGGCCCCTTTATTTAAAACTCTGGCAAGCTTTTTCAAGAGATTTTGGAGCATGGATGGAGTGGGAGAAGTCTGACTCTGCCAGCCTCCTCATTAGGATTATTGTCCAGTATGAAGAATTCGGTGCCCTACAGGTTTTGATCTGATTTAGTTTGGGGGAAGTTCTAACTCCAGTGTGCACTTTTCTGCACCCATGTATGTAAGAGATGCTTCTATGCAGGGCACATAATTCTTTGCATGAGATAACGTTCCATGTATGATCCAAGAAGGTAGCTGCTCCTTCTTTCCTTCCAGACTTTTGCTACAATAAATCTCAGCAGAAAAAAAATTTAGTATGTCCCCCAGCAGTAACTTTGTCAAAGTCTTAATGGTTATTCAGAGAGTGTCAAATGGCACTGGAAATGGTGGCGCCTGAAAAGTTAATGAGTATTATCTTGTACCATTTTACATCCTTGAAGGAATTTTGTGTGGGTTTTCAGCCAGGTAGCAGAGTACCCTCTTTACTGATATGTTTGCTGCTGTTTTAATATGGTGTTAGCTCTGCGTGATCTGGACTGTGCGTAAACCCTGTGATGAATGGAAAGATTCTTGAGCTGACATTTAAATATACTGAGTCCAGAAATAAGTTAGTTGTACTCATACTAAACCCTTTTTACGAAAAGCTCAGGAAAGCTTTGGTCCGATGTTCTCTGCCTGCATCCCACAACAGTTTCTTCTCTCCACTGTACCATCCATTGCTATGTTCTTGTAGCCTGACTTACATATGCTTTAAAATATCTATGACTTTGCTTTATTATATCCCTTTGCCCCTGGTTTATAGATATTTGACTGTCACTGTAAGTGTTAAATTATTCTCAACAAGATTTTGGTCGGTTCTCCATTGTTTAACCTATTAGAACATAATTTTGCCTTCAGGTCTTTCCCTCCCACCCAAAAAAACACGGCAGCTCCTTAGAAAGGAAACTAAGAACCCTTTCTGACCTCCTTTATATTAGTCACTGTCAAAGGCGACTGACTATTCTGATTCCAGGTTGGCCTTCAGAAGTGTTTAACACCACTGTTGGCATTTAGGATATGTCTGCATGGTACAAGCTGTGCCATGTGGAGGTACCTGAGCAGGGCAGTTTGGATTACAAAAATTGTGTAGCCAAGGTAGGACAGCACTCTGCTCAGGCTCAATGGCACTATTTTTGTCTCTGTGGCAATTAGACAAATGAATCCCTATCATAGGTTGCTGCCTGAAATTTCTGCTGGCTAATGAAAGTATTGCGTGTTGTCTTGCACGTTACAAAATGAAAACTGTAGAGATACGTAATTAGAGGCTGCAGCAATAAGCAGCAAGCAGTTATTTCCTTGTCTGTCACTGAAATAAGTTGCTTTTCTCCAAAATACTGCTGTCTTAGTTTGTTTTAAAGTAGAATCAGGCTCTACAAGCACATATTGGTGTACATAGTATCTTTGTAGAACTGCTGTCATATTGGATTTTATTAATGTTTGATAGTACAAGTTTATTAAAGGTGAGAGCCTATTTAAAATTTGGCTTGTGAGCCTAAGGGAGAAGTATGTCACAGTTCTTCAGAAGTGAAATGGGTTTGGAACAACAGGAAAGAGGAAATTCATCCTTACCTTTATTCTTTCTATTTGCATATTTTAGTGTGTATTTTAGTAAAATAGCAAGATTCCTTCTTGTTATTTTGTATATTATACACAAACCTGGTAACATTTTGTGAGGCCAATTACAATAAATAGAAGATAAATGAAGCATTAGGAAGTTAGGGATGTGGCATGTCTGGCACATGGAAATTTACAGCAAATTACATTAATTTAGCATTACTGGAATAAAGAAGAATTATTTTTTAATAGTACTGAAACAAACCTTCCTAGAAGCAAAACAAATTGTTTTGCTAAGTACTGGCATTACATACAGTGCATGAGCTGTGCAGTATTTGTTCTATAAAGGAGCTGGAAATGCCTACGTTGCTGTAGCAGAACATGGATTGGTTTCCCTTTTTGACAGTAGAATAGTTTTCCTCCTCTTCTTTGGACCTGCTTCTGACAGTTCACCCAGGACCTGAGTCTACAAACTGATAAGAGAATTTATCCATAGACTTTGGCAAATGTTATCTTTGAAAGCTAGGGAAATATTAGAGGTTAGCATGTACTGTATTACGTACTGTGTTTCCAGCTGAAACTTATGGCACAACTAACACTTTAATATTGTTAGTTTTAGAAACTGAAATTAATGCAATTTGTTTTTATTTTATATATTTTTAAAATACTCTATAAGATGTTATGTAAACTTTTAATATCACTTATGTAGTTTAATATGGTATGATGATATTTTAATATAGTATGAGGACATTTTAACTTATTTATTCAGTATACTGCTGTTTACCATAAATCTCCCTTGCATTAAACGTACCTAATATACTGATATAGAGCCCAGCCTTGCTCAACTGCATGGGCTACATTGCTTTTGCTAGTTGACAGTGGGAGGCCATAGGCTCTTTTCCCTCCTAGTCAATGCACAGCATGGTCAAGGTAAGTTTGTGCAGTAGGACTGACATTTCCAGCAGCATCAGGTCTGCTGGCTTAGCCAGCTCTTGAGTCAGATGGAAGTGGGCTACAGAAAGTGTTTTCAAGGCAGCAGCCCACCCCAATCTTTCCAGGTTGCTCTTCCCTTTTGTATGACTGCAGACATGAAATCACATCCTTACCTTGTCCCAGTGAAGATGACAGCAGGAACAGGCTCCCGCTCCCCAAACAATTCATCGGTCCTGTCATCCACATCTGAATTGATTCTAGCAGAAACGGTGCCAGCAATTAGAGTGGATGAACTGTCGGCCTAGGCTATTTTCAGTTTCTTAGCCTTAGTTGGGAATCAGACTCTATATGAATAGAGATAACTGGATATTAATTTTTTGTATGTACTGCTGGTAAAATTCTGGAGGGAGAAGATTGAGAGAAAATGTTTTGCACAAATGACAGTGTGCAATAGCAAGTTAATTTGCTTATAAAGAGGTATGTATTAAGTATCTCCATGTTAGAATTTCAAAAGCTTACAGTGGGCCTGTGACAGTTTTGTATCAGAGGTAATGTTATGGCCTGCATACTTTTAGTGTATTCTTTTGGAGAACTTTGGAGAACATACATGTCCATACAAGTTTTGCCATGGCTCAGGTGAGTATAAAATCAGGTTGTCTACTGGGGAGTCCAAGCTCCTTATCTAAATTTTTGATTAAATTTATCTTTCACATGAAGGAATTATTTTTTGCTCCTATATTTACTGAGCCATTTTGAAAAAGTTTTGTAAGTAATGGAATATGAAAACTAATGTACTGTCTTTTAAAAATACTTTAGGACAACTGTACAGTTGTATCACATTTTACTTTTCAAGTTTGCTTGACAGGGTCAGTGCCGCTTGCCCATTTAATAAAGCTGGACAGCATCCTAGTCAGCATCTTATTGGTCTCCGGAAAGCTGTTTATCGATCTGTCAGAGCCAACTTTCGAGCTTCAAGACTGGCTACTCTGTACATGCTGAAAAAATATCCTTTCTGTAAGAACTCCCAAGTTCAGATATTCCATTAATGTTACCTATCTGTAATTGTGCTAATGTTTAGAGTTCACATGACTAGAAACATAGAGTATCTAATTACATCTATACACAAAATCAGGAGAAGGTATCGGGAAAAGCATAGTGACTTTGTGCTTTATGCCTGGTTTGGAACATTCTTAACATTTTTCTCTTCTCTGTACTGTGCAGTTTGAGATAAGATTCTGTATACTGAAAACACTGTCCCAATTACTGAGGACTGTGCCTTTGGTGTGAGCACTGATATGTGGTTCAGAATCCTTTGAGGTTTTGTTTTATAATTCCTCTCAGCTATCTTTTTCTGTTGCAGCAAAATACCTCTCCTCTGAACCGTATAGCCTTTCACTTGTCACGCCCAAGTCCAAAGGTAAGTAGATTTTCCGTTTCAGACAAGCTGGATGGAGCTTTTACTGTATTAATTAGCCGAAGACCACATTTACAAATGAGGTTTCTACTCTGAATCAAACTAGAATGCTTTGTTCAGATTCAATTCCATGAAGCATCATCTGTATTTCTTCAGTTATTGTAGACTTTTTTTATGGCATTAGCATTTCAAGATGCTTTTCTATATTTATGATAGTGCATGGGAAATAACAATTTCTTCACCCTGTATTGCAGTAAAAAAGAAAACACATCTATTCCTGATCTGGAAAACCATATGCAAACAAAAGCTGGTGGTAAAGCAAGCACTGAAAATCTGTCACGACAAATGACTTGTTTTGTCGCCCTGGAACATAACATTTGATTAATATATCTTGCCTGGCAAGTATATGAATATATTGATTGATGTTGTGTGCGCACGCACACATGCGTACACACACGCACGGACACATACACACAGCTAAAGGTGCATGTGTTTTACTTTGAAGGAAATGAGTCTTTATTTGCAAAGTAATAACTTGTAGGGGTAGGAATCTCCATTGCGGGCTCAAGACTTCACTTTTAGCTCTGGGGAATAAGGTGTATTTGCTATATAGAGAAAGAAAAAAATATTCAGAGTATCTGTTTCAAATAAGTTAATGAGAACAACTGTTATCTAGGTTGGAAATAATCAAGAATCGCTTTTAAGAGCAGGAGAAGAGAGCTGAAAATGGGGTCAATTAATGTTCCAAATGTTCCTCCAGCATGAAGAAAGGAAGTCCAGTAGTGGCTATGAAAAGGTGCATAGATTGTTGCTATAGCTAGAGAGGTTATATGTTCAAGGAATATTGGTGTGTATTAGACTGTCATTTAATTTTGTAACAGCTGAGCTGATGGAATGGCTTTTAAATTAAGGAACGGAAGAGAAAAACATATTGCATTTACTTTGGGTGTTTTGGCATTTATGTCTGTCTTTGAATGATTTTAAGATGGAAGTTCCCATATAGCAAATTGTCATGCAGTTATCACAGTAGTAAGGGTCAGCAGAAGTAAATGGCAAAAAATATTGTGAAGCTGGCATGTGTATAGGTTCTTGACAAATGGGAAGAGAAGTATTATATTTATGCAGAACGTAATGGGAAAAAATACAACGCCAGCATGTGAGTTGAGATGCAGGCTGGGTCTACTCTGCAGTGCATGAAAACTGAAAACAAGGAATTTAAATGTGAGGAAGATGAATAAAGGATTCCTCCTCCCCACCAGGATAATTAAGAGCAGCTTTGGGGTAGTTCCAAGTTATCTTAATTTGTAGTTCTCCCTGCATATCACGAATGCCTGAAAATTCAACAGGTACCATATTTATCATATGGACATTGATGACAAGGAGCATCTTTCAAATAGATTCCACTGCTTTCTGCAATTAAATATTACTGTTATGCTGGAGGGGCCAGAGATTCCTTCATGTCAAAAGCATTCACAGCTGCCACTTATGACAACTTCAAACCATGTCCATCATCAGACTGTTAACACAGATTGCCTACAGCAAGGAGAAGAAGGAATTGGAGAGATTTAATAGAGAAGTAAGGTGATAAATTAAAGGAAAAGAACGTTCATCAAATGTCTGGAAATGAGATCCCAATTATGACTTTTACAATTCTTTTTAAAAAGCTCTGGTTTACACAAAGTCAGAACATGTTTTTGAGTTAAGTTCCCGTAGATTCTCTGAGTATGAACTAATGAATTGCTATTCAAAATTTACTTTTAATGAGCATTGTGAAAGACTTGAATTCAGTAGCACTGTAAATGATGTACACCAGCCACAGCAAAATAAAGTTCTTTTATGAGAGGGAAAAAAAAAAACAGTCTAAATATTTAACTTCTGGAACAGTATTACAAAATGACATTGAAACAAAGACTGTCTTTCCTGGGTAGTCATAATATGATTTCAATAAATATTTTTTATTGAACTGAATATTGTTTTGCATCTTTGTAACAGAGCAGATATATCTCTGTATTTGGGCAAGTAGAAAAACTGAATTATTTTTACTTGAAACAGCTTTCAATTGGAATTTAATGTGTGAAATGCCAGCTAGTCTGAAGGACAACAAATCTTGAATCTTCACAGCTAATACACTAAAGTTGAAAGCTTTAGTTCAATTTTTATTGATGATTGATCATTCTTTTGATTTATTTTTCACTTTTTTACAGAATAAGGAATTAATAATTTCTTAAAAATATAAGCAACTAAATAGGACATGCAATGTTGGAGTGATTCATGTGGGATGAGAAACAACATGTCGAAACTCTGTCAGTTGATTGGGCGCAGCACTTAAGGCATGAGAATCAGAGATTATGAAAGTGGAGGTGGATCTTCACATGATATAACTTCTCACAGCTTCGTTTCCTTCCACAGTGTGGTATTCATTGACGTCATTTCACGATATGATCCATGATACTTTCTTCTGGCGTGCCAAACTTCTAATGCCGTTGTCTGCTTTTCTTTTCATGAGAGTCAGACATTGAAATAAGATATTTCATCAAGTAATGGGGAAAGCTTTGAACCGTGGAGTGTACATTTCACATAAACGTTTATATATAAATGGGAAACATCCAGTTATCAAAATAAAGTCCTAGTCTGTGACTAGCCCTCCTAAGTGGTGCAGTGATACAAAAGGATGATAATGATGATAGTATGAAATATGTCCTGAAACTGTAGAATATGCCCTGAAATATGCCTCATCTTCTTGTTTTTTATAATGAACTTTACAATTTGGGATTGAGATCTGTAATATAGTGAAGATAATTGTTACCTTACGGCTATAGTCAACAGGTCTTGAGCTGAGACATGTCTATTATTACATATAATAATTGAAGTAATGTAGAAAATTGTATTCAGCTCACTAATGAGGTAAAAGGTATACTTACATTTAAGGTAAGGTTTCATGCAGAACATTCTTATATGTTCATAACCTAGCAGAAATATCTGTAGCTGAAGTGTTTTTCAGAATATCCCTTTTTAGATTTATTTGCAGCAAGATCAGTTCACTCATTTATGGCTTAATATGGGATGATGATTTTTCTTCTTTGAAAGTATGTAATTATATATGCTTAACAAAAACAGCTAAATAGCGTCTCCTAGGAACTGTTTTCTAAGACAACTTGAATGTGCGTGAGGTTAAGTCAAAAGGTGTTCATAAATAAGCAAAGTCTACATCAAAGTGGCAATTTTTTGCCCACAAAACATCATTTCAGTGAGTGACGTTGTAGAGACATATGAATAAACTTGAGCTAAATTTTACTGTGAATTTTCATACTTACGTTGTTTTAAATCCAGAACTTTAAAATTATACAGTAAAATACAGAAAAGTTTAATCTTAAAAACATTTATAGATTTGCACCTCAAAATTTTGAATGTTTTGTCAACAAATGCAAACTGCAGATTTTTTGCTGCTGCTTTAATTTACACTGCCTTGAGAGATTTTTTCATTAGTAATCTAAGTAGATTGCTGAACATACACTTCAATGTATTTTTTCATAATGTTAATATATTTTAATTTATTCTTTCATACTTTAAATTTATTTCATGAAGACTAGTCATACTGGAAACCAAAGGGGAACTACTTTGAACCTAAGCCACTTGCTTTATATGTAACTTTGAGCAAGACAAGGAAGAAAATATACTGGAGGGGCTCGGTTGGCAAGTGTTGGATGGAGTCTTAAAACCTGTGGCTAATCTAAGTATTAATTATAGACATAAATGAATGACTAGAGAACAGAGATTTAGGTAAAAATAAATGATTAAATACATCTTAAATGTTAAGGGGAATATTGATCTGTGCTAATCCTTTGAGCATAGCTGCTATATACTAAGTGTGTATTTTAGAGCTGTCATCAGTGGTTATTTCCATTACCAAATATCTATGGCAAATTAGGCTTTTAAGGCAATGTACATCTCAAATGTGTTAGTGGGAGAGCTGTCTGGTGAAGCTGTTCCAGTTTGGCAGTATTTGCCTGTGGCTAGTTTGCCGTCTTTGTAGCTAGACATCTCCCTTCAGTGAGAATTCACTGCAATAAATATCTTGATAATTAATGTTTTTTCCCATGTAAAAGTAGAAAAATATACGATTATACTTTAACTTACACCAAGCTTTGGTTTGAGACTTGGTGGACCAGTAGGCTTTAATGAGATGGAAAGTTGTATGCCTTACAGCTTGTGTTACTTGCAGAAACAATTCCACGTTTTCTCAAGCCACTTTTATTCTGATTCATTCCTTTCGGTAAAGGTACATTGATACTCACAACTATAGAAGAAAAAGCCAGAGAAGGGAAAAGCGAAGGATATTTCTCTTTTAATCTGGAAGATAAGGGTATAGCAGGATGCAGTAGTTAAAAGCTGAAGCTAGAAATTAGGCACTTTGGATGTTACGCAGACCAGTTCACTCACTACTAGTTCAAGAGACCTCTGCACTATACCTGGTTGGATTGTGTAGTAACTCAGAGGTGATACACAAGTCGGTGTGCTAGTTGCTTAATATTTTTATACTTAAAGAGTTTTGTGGAATCTATAAATTATTGACTGATTTAATTATAATCAGATGGGATGGGAAAATTTTGTGGCTTTTGTTGGCGGATGATGTTAATGGTCTCCCCCTAAGCTGGTAAAAGATGGTATGATGCTTAATAATTTCCATTGAACTATATTGATAGATGGAGCCTGGGAGTTTCGCCATATAAATTCAAGCAACTTTAATTTTCTTGTAAATGTAAGATGTTCCCTTATGGCAAGGAGTAAATAGTGTTATAAAAACAGATATGGATAGCAATATTTTATATGGAATGAGTACTTGGGTCATTTAGGTGGAAAGATGTAGTGTATGTCTTTGAGATGCACTGAGCTCAGGGAAAGCTGCAAATTTGCTGTCCTCCTCCCCTGTAAAAATTTAGTTGTTGCATATTGAAATATTAGAACAGCACATACTTTCTTAACTTGGGAAAGAAAGCTCACACAAGAAAGCAGTAAGCTAAAGTTTAGAAGATTTTGTAGCCAGCCCACCTCAGTATGGTGAGTTTGTTTCATTTTTACAAAAAGTTGTACTCTCTTTGGGTCATAAAAACCTAAATCTGAAGTCTGACTCTGCAAGGTCTGAGTAAAGATGCTTGGGAATTTTTCAGTGAAATATTTTTTTTTTTTGTTGACATCAGATGAGATGCTTTGCTCATCCTTTCTATCCTGATGGGCAGGTGAGAATTTTGAGAAGAGCCGCTCAGATTTCTTGGGGGTATTGTGAGTCCTTCCTGTTGGATCTTTACATGGAAATGTGCTTTCGAAGAGCAAAGCACTAGTACTGTTTTTTATACATGGGTGCATTAGTATTCTTGTCTTTTACAGGTAAATAAGATCAGTCACCTGCCAGAGATTAGACATTCACTGTACAGATACTGTATTCTGGGTTTGTAGAGTTTATTGTTAAGTAGCTTTTGCCTTCTCTTTTTCCAAACTGGTAATGAATATGAGTTGAACAGGTGAATAAAGTATTTTCACAAAGACATAGAAAAAGTTAAGTAATGCAAGTTCAGTTACTATATTTTCTGCTTTAATAGAAAACATTAGCTATAAAAATATATATGTTTTGGAGAAAAGCTTATTGAGGAAATATGTGTATGTGGGGTGTATGTTTAAACTTTCTAAAAGTTTAGTCCGTAAGAAGCTATTAGAGGCATATGTGGTCAGTTCTGCTTTCACTTAACAAATATGAATAGTAGAGTTACAAGAGAGGAGGGCAAGGCAGGAGATGCAGGAGTCTGCTGGGAACCCCTGGCTGATTTATAGCATTGATAAGTGGCTTATTCGGCTGCATGACCCATTTGACAGGTGCACCACTGCCTGAGAGTTTTTATGTTGAAAATCTGGAGCTGCCATCAGTTCTTCACACATCCTTAATGTGAGTGTTCCCTGGGTGTTTCTGTTGCTGCTGTTTTTTAGCTTTTGAAATCCATATGCATTCAAATTGCATTTTAAGATGTTCATGCTGTTGGAAAGTTCCTGTTGTGAGGAAAGATTAACAAGGAGTATAATTAGTCCTTTAGATAACTGATCCTAAAGGGTTTTGACCTGCCTTTTATCTCTGAAGGAAGTCAACATCCTCATTGCGCGTGCTCCATCTGCTGGGCATTCTGTCCGGTTAATGTGGAACGGCTGCCCCAGCTGATGCCAAGTGTGCGTGAGGCAGTGTGGATGGCCACAGCCTACCCTGTCCCGGAGTCATTTGCCTTGAAGGTTTTTGTCTGCACTTGTGCTTCTGAAGTACGGTAAAAGGCTTCTTTCTTTCCACAGTTTGAGGACAAATTAGAGAGAGCTGCCTTTGTTTGTTTAGAAGCCAGACGTGTAGCGTTGCTTTTTCCTGGTCCACAAAAATTTCATTTCATGCAATATTCTTCTACTGAAGTGGTGAAATTTTTTTGGAGGAAATAGCTATTATATTTTCAATCATGTGAGAATTTGGTAGGTGGAAAATCTGGGAGTAAAAGCGGGTGGAACTTGTAGCTTCCCCAGAAAACAGATTAGACGGAGATAAGTACTTCTACATGGGCTTAATGCGAAAGAAGAGATGAGAGCATTGAGTTTATAAAATCAAAATATAAAGGAAAGGATTGCAGTTTAAATTAAGGTCTTATTTTCATGAATGCTTTGCAAATATTTTTATTTACTTCTGCAAAGCAAAGATATGCTTATGACACTAGTTCCTGTTTTAGAGAAAATGTACTGTTGTGTTATTGGATGATTATTCAAACCATACAGAAATCTTGAACTGGTCCTCCTTCTCATTCCGCAGCATGAGGTTAGCCTAAAATTAGTACTATTTTAAAATAAATGCTGTCAAGTCTATGAATTATTTTTATCTGTCTTCTGGTATCTGAGTCATATTGTGCTTGCTTCCTGCTTTTTAAGCGTTTCACCACAGTTCCAAGGGCTAGAAACATGCATTTTTAAAAAACAATGCATTCTCACGAGTGTCATGATTCTAGCATCTGAAGAAAATTGCTAATTATTGAAAGAATTGACAGTTCTAAATTGTGAAAGAGAGCAGGCATAGCACAGTTTTTCTTTTCATATTCAGAATTAAGTGTGCTGAATCGTTGATAGATAAAAGTTTACTGCTGTTCCTGCCAAGATTATTATGGTGGCTTTACAGCTATGTCATCAGTAAAATTGGAGGTCCAGGGAAGTGTGAAATCTTCGAGTAGTACATGATGGAGAGAGAAGGAAAGGTTAAAGGAAACCATGTCTTCAAAATACCTAGTGCCTTTGTTGAATTCCCAGTTGATAACCTGCTTATCTTGCAGCAGCAGAGGTTTGGAAATGTTTTGTTCTACCATATAGTTTGTGATGTTCTTCATAGTCTTGGTGGTTCCTTGTAAATTAGTACAAGTCAGCTTTTTAGGCTGGTCACTCCCTTCAGGATGTGGAATTGTGTATTTAAAATGTTTCAAAATAAGTCACAAATGACTTGCAAATGCAAAACATTGCTGCATAACAATAGTTTTATTCAGTTGGAATCTCTTCCTATATGCTCAGTTTCATTGTTTTTCAACGGTTCAAACACTTGACTGGTGATGTGCACTGAAGCCAGATGCACTCATTTTATGTTATACCTTTCATCTTCTGAACAAGACACTTGCTGTGTTGCGTTTGGGCATGGTGGGGGGAACACAGTAATTGCTGTTCAGACAGAGTAACTTGCTTATTCTGAGGTCACTGTAAAGCACACAAAAACGGAACTAATGATAATTAATGCTAATAGAAAGTTTACTATTGCTTTGAGTAGTCTTTGAAACCGTCAGTCTCTAAGACCTTCATGTTTGCAAGTGTTTTTCTCATGTACTTACATTTTTGTGTGTGAATTATGGGATTATTCCCATATTCCTTCTGGGATGGTTCAGAAGAACGTCATTCAGTGTGTGAACCAGAATTTGCAGGATCACGGCCTAAATTGCGCTGTTAACTGAGCTACTTTGCAAATTAGCTAATGGAGGACAGCGCATCACAGCCACACTTCTCTTGGTTTTCTTGACTAATTTCTTGACTACTCAACAACGTGTCAATGCTACCACAGAGACAAGTAGGAAAGGGATAAGAACATTAGCACAGTTACCTTCAGAAAATATGTTACAGATAATTGAGTTTTGGCTGTATGAAACCTCATTGTATGTGTTGGTGTGTCTTTGAGAAATTTGCTTTTAGATTAACAGTATGGCAATTAGGGAGCATCTGCTGTTCATGTTAATACCTGAAATGTCAAAGAACAGTTATTTTAAACATCTCTAGGCAGTTGTCACTAAACAGAACTCACAGAGAGGTCCCATGATCCTGATTTTGGACTATTATATAGGCTACCTTTTGAAACTTAAAATTGCAGAAGTGTTATTCTCCTCTTTACTTTGTTAAATATCCGATTGCTGTTTTTAAGACTGACATGAGCTGCTTCTTGGGAATTTACTATTTAAAGATAAGATAATTTCCTCACTTGAAAGAAATGCAAGGTTTTTTCATTAATCTATTTTATTATATTTCTTTTTAGATGGTTGTATTTAGACATAGATGTTTTCTTAATGTCTTATCTTTCAGTGAGCCTTTAAAACCTGTGCCATGAATAAGGATTGCAAAATGTTCAATTAAACTGGATTTGAGTGAATTGTATGTGCTTTCATATAAATTGCTAGAAACAAGAAACCCTGCTAGGTATTTTTGCCCTTTCTGTGTGCTTGTTGCAAACGTTGCTTTGTTAACCACCTTAACTCTGACTAAACCTACCCTCTAAACTCCGAGAGCGACAATGTGACCAACTACATCTGTGTAGTCCCTTTTAAGGAGCTGGGGTTGGGGCTGAGTGAAGAGCAGATGTCTGAAGAGGAGGCACACAATCTCACAGATGGCTTCAGCTTGCCTGCGCTCAAGGTAATCTCTCCTAGAAGGACAAATGCATCCATGCAGACTCATCACAAAAATCTATTCAGTTGTCATAAGGCTCTGCTGCTTCAACTATTTGGTGTTTTCTTTTTTTCTTAGGTTTTGTTGTTGTCGAGTTTGTTTATTTGCTTCCTACACACTGGTCTGTAGTAACAGACTGAAGGGGAATTATAAGTAGTCTCATATCATATGTTTTACACTCTCTGGCATTTAGGTGATTTCTTTTTGCATGTTGTTGAAGAGAAGTTGTTCGATACAACATTAGGGTCTTTTTCTGTAAATGACTTAAGTTCAAATCAATATTTTACAATCAACTTGATCAGTGTCCTCCTTGAACATGATTTTGTTCTCTGATTATTGTTCAACAATCTGTTGTTCTCTGATTTCACTTGATCCCAGCAGAATCAACTAATCTCTTTTTACTCATTTAATTCCTAGACCTTGACCTACTTTGTTCTGGCAGTAAATGTTACCAGTAGTAGTGGCAGCTGAGCTTCGAGGCTTTAGTCTAATTGGCTGTAAGCTAGGAGCTTTACCAGATGTAACCTTTTGGGATTTTTTTTCTTGCCATTAATAAGTTCTAATTACAACCATGCAAGCCCAGTTATTTACCCACTTCTCTTTAAAGATAAGAGGCCAGTCAGTTGCCCAGCTTGTAAGCTAAGTCTTTGTTTACCTACAATTTGCACTGATTTAACTGAATTTAGTTTTCAAGCTATTTTAAACTGATTGGAAAGCTTTCTGGGTGCAGTTAAACTCAAACTAGCAAATCTCAGTTTACCTTAACTGGTAACAGTGAAGTAGGCTGGGTGTGGTGTAGTTGAGTCAAGCTAAATTAACATAAGCCAGTCCCTAAGCAGATCCATACTTAGATAACAAAAATGGATGTACTTAGATAACCTTGTTTAGTGTTTATGTTGTGAGCTCTGACTTTATGCATAGTCCTCTTCAGTTTTTTGTGTTTTTTTTTCTTTGAGAGAACTTGCTATTGTATTGAAACGCAGGCAGAATACAGATATGTATCCAGATTGGGTTAGTATTTTAATTTTCGTTCAAGCCCATGTCTAAGCTGTATGACAGATGTGTTACAGATGTGTACCTTGTCCTCAAATTAGACTGGTTTAGAGGGTAAATATTTTTCATTTTAAAATAAATATTAATCCAAGCTGAGGAGGACCGTTTGGATGTTTTGGATGAAGTCTAAACGCCAATAAAAACCATCAAAAGTTCTTATTGACAAGAAAAAGCTGTTTGCAACTCTGAATACATTTGGAATTTCCTTTTCTCTCATCCTCGTGCCTTTTTTTAGGTAGGTTTTGGATTATTATTTTCAATTCCTGAAATTCACTACTTTTGTGTCCTACCTTTTTTGTGTCACCGCTTCTGTCTTATGTCTGGTGGGAAGGGATTGGCCTCCTTTTATGTTCACTATAAGCTGAGTTCTGACTTTTTATTCAGAGCAGCACTCCTTCTTCAGGGATACTTAGGTGACTGGTGCTGCCTACTTGTTTGCTTCCCTCCCTTCCCCCCCACTTGGCTTATTTTTTTTTTTTAGCATCTAGCTAAATCAGTCTTGAATGTTTGTCTCTACATTGTTTATATCATTCAGTGTTCTTTCTTCTCATAACCAGAGATCATATTTTTCACACTGAGATTTCTTTTTCTTTTAGATTGGTCTATCAGTTCATATTCAGGTATTTTTGGTATATCCCTGGGTATATCTGACCATATCTATCTGAAAGCGTTTACTTTTTGTGTTACTATTGTGAGTGTTTTGCTCTTGACAGTTCACAGACCAGGAAAACCGTTATCCGTCCATAGTAGTACGAGTGCAAAGATGTAAATACCTAGTTACAAACCCTGTAAACCAAAATCTCAGAACAAGTAAATTGTTAGTACTCTTTTGTAGTTCAGGAAAAGAAAAGACATGGTAATTACCTTGTCTTCCTCAGTCTTTAATGCCTAAGAACAGATTTCAGACCTCTTATTTTCTTAAATCTGATCCCTATAAATAGGGACTGCTGTTGCAGAGGAAAGTATCATTGCCTTCACTTTTTATTTTAGAGATATAAGATGATACTGGTCTGTCAAGGTCTATCCAGCCAGGTCTTATGTGACATCAGAACAAATCTTGTCTAAGCTAAGAAAACAGATCTTATTTTCATATTTCAACTGAAGTGGAAGCTCGTGAGAAATCACAGTGGTGGCTTTCCTTGTTCCCAGACTGACTGACCTCATTTGTACCATACGTAACATTGTGAGGTGATTCATTTCTTTTAAGCCCTTCCCTCCTTCATGGCATTGGTGAAATTTCTTACTTTGGCTGAAAAAAGAGTAAGTTAGCAGCTCAGTTTTTTTCAGATATAAAATGTTTTTACTGAAATACGCATTTTAAGATTGGCTGTGGTGCAGTGCGGTAGTTAGTAAGTAGATCATGGAAATGATAGCTTGAAATTAGAAAGCAAAAAATGTCTTTGCTACCACTGGCATTTTGGCAGCCCTTTATGAGCTCTAGGATATTTGGAGATAATAGTAAATAATGAGACTGCCTGATAAGAATATGAAATGTTAGGCCTCTGAGAACCTTTCAAAAATATTCAGCAGATTTCCTCAGTTTTTCAAATTTCCTGTGGTTGATAGGAGAATGTTTTTGCTTTATAAATCTGTACGTGTATTTTGGAGGCTGGCTGTATTACCAGGTGCACACAGCTAACCTTACTATGTTTTGTAGGTTCTGTTTCAGCTCTGGGTAGGGCAGAGCTCAGAATTCTTCAGGAGACTGGTACTGCTGCTATCTCCAGCCAATGCATCTCCTAAGCCCTTGATCTCCCCAGAACGTTTGCCTCATCATATTTTTTCTGATGTGACTCAAGGCCTACCTCATACACACGCTGCCTGCTTAGAGGAGCTTAAGCGAAGCTATGAGTTTTATCGGTACTTTGAAACTCAGCATCAGTCAGGTTTTGAACGGACAACCAGAACAAAACAGAAGTCAAGAGAGCTGAACAGTCTGCACACAGCAGTTCGCAGCTTGCAGCTTCATCTCAAGGCACTGCTGAACGAGTAAGTTTACACTTGAATTAAGAGAACATGCCTGGAGGAAGAAGGCTTCAGACAAGTTCTTCAGGTTGTCAGTTTATATCCCAAATTAAAAACAAAAAAGACCAAGATGTATAGTCGTTGCAAGTACTTCATGCCTGTTCTGTTTCATAGTTGTTCAAATTGTTCTGTTTCATAGTTGTTCAAATTGTTCTGTTTCATAGTTGTTCAAATTGTTCTGTTTCATAATTTCATAATTTCAGTGAAGATGTCCTTTTCCAAAGTATTAGCTCTACTTTAAAATCTGTTATTTGGCATTAGAAGTCTCTCAACAGTTCTTAAAAGATTCTGTTCCACCACTCGTGTTCTGGTACTCTGCCCATTGCTGTGTCTGAACTTTCAGCTATGACAGCTAGGCATATCTTCTGATAGTCTGAAGATTGAAGTGCCTTGGTCCAATGTGGTTATTTTTTGAATATCTGTCAGAAATTCCAAACTAAGCTGTGCATAAAAATCTTTCCTCTCTTTAGTCAATTCCTTGAAGTCTGAAAATGTACTTATCTTTCATTGATTTTTTTCAACATACCAAGCACTTTATAAAAAAAAGTTTAGCTCAAGACTTCCTAGCAAATATTTTTAAAGATTTGTCACTGCCTTGGTGAAATAGTTGAAACTGCCTTATTCCTTTAATTTTAAATGTAAAGATTGCTGTAAGAATGTGGGTGAGTGGTATATCTCCGTGTGGAGAAAAGGATCTTATTTTTAAAATTTTGGGACAGCTTTGAGGTTTTGGCTGAATCAGATCATGAGAGCCTGGAGAAAATAACAGGATGTTAATGAAAGGAAACTTGAATAAATTGTGAAGTTAAATATTTATTTTATTTTGCTTGTCTCTTCATTACTTAGGGTAATAATTCTTGAGGATGAACTTGAAAAACTTGTTAGCACTAAGGAGACGCATGAGTTAACAACAGAAGCCCATCAGGTTCTGGAACAAAAACTAAAGTTTATTCAGCCTCATATCCAGGCAAGCAACAGCTGCTGGGAAGAAGCTATTTCTCAGGTCGAAAAAATGAATCGAAGAAACCCAGATAAAAAAGGTAAATATGAAAGGTTAATTTATCAACTAATGGAATATTCTTTAGAGATGGAATGGTCAGACAGACCAAAGACTGTTCAGCATATGCATCTGAATTTCAGCTGGAGAAACTCTGGCAACCATACTCTTTGAAAAAATGATATGCACGTGTCAAATTCTTTTTATCATGATGACCTGGAAGCTTTTGTTTCCCTAAAAAATGTAAGTGAATTAACATAATTTGTTAGACACTTGGATTCAAATTGTTACGTTATCAGGTATAAACCAATAGAGGCTTTTTCAGTCATACTGAGCAGCACATCCCAAAATTTTGGCTTGTGTCCCTCTACCAGGCAGCCTGTACTGTCCATGCTGTTCTCCTTCTGAATCACAACTACCTGAAGTTACTGAAGTGAGCTTAGGCTCTCATGGAGCTGAACACATGGAGTTGAACCAATAATTTCTAACCTTTCTCCTTTCTAGCTTTTACACTGTCCTAGGAAGGTGCAACCCTGAATCTGATTAATGCTGTTAATAGGAACTGTGAAATAGGAAGATTGTGATTTGGGATATCAGCAAGTTACCTACCTATAGAAATCCAAATTCTTAATGTGTTAGGCTGTTAATGATATATGGCAGGGGCAGTATCCAGCAGATGGATTAATATTGCTGTGGGCAGAGATATCCAGGCTGACCTTGTTCATGCTTACCTCAGACCTGGGAGCACTGCGGAATCTAATGCAAGCATTGAGCTGGTTTTACAGCTCATTTTGAGCCTGGTTATACATGTCCAAGCACTGTATAACCAAGTTTATGCATTCGTTGTCTAGTCTAGTTTAGTCTAGTCTTACTAATTCCCTGTCAGTGCTGCATAAAAGTACCTATCAGAATATTGGACGTAGTTTGATAACACCTGGCTATACTATCCTGTTATGTTTTATTGATGCCATCTACAACCAGCATGTGAAAGTTTGGCTCCATGAGAAGAAGGAGTCAGCTCACCAGCTGCAACAGTCAAGGTCCCGTGTTGCTCCATGGAGTGGGGTAAACAGAGAGCTCACTGCTCTCTGCAGAACATAAAGTTCAACCATGAGTTGAAGGTTGCCAACCATTAAAGACTTGTGATGAACTGTGGGTTATTCTAGTTGTGGCATCCTAGGTAACTGCCTATCACTTATTTTTAAAGCAGTTTTACATATCTTTAAGTGTTTTCTGTGTAAACAGATGGATCTCCTTCAGCAAGTATTGCACACTTCTGCCCTAAATCATTCTGTGTCTAAGTAGGTTTCCTATAGCTACATTTAATTAATTGTCAAACTCTGTCTCATCAAAGCCTTTAAATTTGATTGATTGAACAGCACTTCTCTCATACCCTCCCATCAGCCTTTCATGACACATACCTTATAGTACATGGTTACTCTGATGAATATCCTTTGGCTTTTCCTGTGTTTATAGGGCCTGGTGCATTCTTAGAACCAGTACTGTTAGTCACTCGTCCTGTCAGATACATAACAGATCCTGAGAGGAAGTGATATTTTATCACCTTCAGGGGAATTCCTCTCTACTTAAATGCAGTGTATATTCATAGATTTGTGGATATACATTGATCTTTATTCACTTCAAACATATGTTGATTCTAGACTTTCAGCCAGCTTCTCTTTATTCTTTCACGTTTTTTCTTCGCTGATAAAACTGATTTACCACTTGAGGCTTCACCAATTTAAGCATGTAGTAATCTCGTACAGAAGAATACTTTACAGAAGAATATTTTTTAATATTTTTAACTACTTTTTATGGCTAGTTACAGCATTGTTTTAACGTTCCTCAAACTGTTTAAATTCCATCCTCTTTTTCCTTTAAAATTGTCTCCTTTGCAGAAGCATGCATCTCTCGTAGATGTTTATAAAGGCAAGGCAATAGTACTCCACGGCAAGCTCCTGGATATTGCTGTGATTTGATCCACCAGAGAGGAACTAAAGCAGCAGCAGTTTTAGTTAAGCACTGTGAATTCATCCTCTAGAAGCATATCCTTAACAATATTATAATCCCAAATAAATGACAAATAAAGTAGCCTGTACATATTAGAACAGCTGTTTTACTCTTCTGTTTTGGGTAGGCAAGCTTTTGATTGGTAACTTTCATTTTATTCTTCCAAATTTATCTTTATACATTCAGGTTATAGCTAAGTTATTTAAGTGCTAAGTTAAATAATAGCTAAGTTATTTAAGTGCTCTCTAACACGGTTTTTAAGGGTTTTCTAACCAGCCTTCTCATAGTTTTTTCATATGTACTAATCCTGCCTGATGAAAATGCCTGGACCCTGCCTGAATGTGTCAAAGATACCACTCAATCTTTCTTTCTTCTCTCTCTCTCTTTTTTTTTTTTAATCTCTTTCTCTCTTTCCTCCTGAAGGCAAACTTGAAGCTTCCTGTGACAACATACAGCGTTCTACAGTACCTTTAATACAGCCTGCCCTACACATTGAAGACAAAGATCCAATCCCTGAAGAGCAGGTAAAAAGAAACAGGAACACTTTAATAAATGGAGCTTTATTTCTGTTTCCATTCCTTTTCAGTTGCGTGTGCAGTGACCTTCTTTGTCTTGCCAAAGCAGATAAAGCAGGTAGCCAATGCCATTTCATATGTGGACTTACAGAAAATTTGATGTATTTTCTCTCTGCTGCTCTACAGGGAGATGCTCCCCAGCTTGGAGCAAAGAGCACTAGCATTTGCTTATTCACATATAACATTGGAAATAATTGACAAAAGGAGAGACAGAAACACAAGTGAAAGTAATACAGGAAAAAAATTTGAATCGCTAAAAGGCGATATATAAAGTTGAGTGTTACTGGCATTTTATTAGACCAACTTATGCAGATCCAAAAGGGACACATTTATGGACAAACCAGCCTGTCTTCAGTTTGTGTAATCTCTGCATTTTTAAATACTTAAAACAGGCTTTAACACTAAATGCTTTTGTGTTGTTTCCCCGCTCTAAGGGGACTCCTGCCAATTGTTGTGCTGTCTTGAAGAGAAGCTGGCCTCCACCCCAAAACCAAACAGCAGATACGTCCTGAAAATAGACTGGCCACCCTTGTTGTCCTCTATCCCTCCCTCACTTTCTCCCACTGTTACACCTCTGCCTCCTCTCCCTCCACATTCTCTCTCCCATTAGATTTTTTTTCCGTATCAAAGTATTAAGATGAATAACTTTACCAGCTGTCTGTCATGACATAAAGCAGGCTCAGGATTTTCACATTTGTAAGCCAGTGTAGTAAAATTTGGAGGAGGAGTCTGCTATTTTCAACATCCTCTTGATAAGGATTGACATGAGTTAAATAAGCAATTCTTACTGAGTCAGGCATCCTGCTAATGGTGTAAATTAAAAAAATGAAAACCACATTGGTATTGCTTATTTCCACCAGTAATTATGGAGCAATGGACTCCCATTTTCAAGGTATATCACTTTATCATACTCGTGTATTTGTATGAAAGTAAATCTTGGGCGCCTGCAATTATGTTAACTTAGAGTGAGTAGACTTGCTCCAAAATTACACAAGGGTAACTTAGAGCAGTGTCAGATCAAACAAGGCCTCATCCTCTTATGGCTTGTGTGAAGATCGCTTGATTACACATCAGCTTGTAGGACAAGGTCTATGCTGAAGGCCAACATTGAAAATTGTTTTTATTCTTTCTTTCTTTTTTTAGGAATTGGAAGCATATGTTGATGATTCAGATATGGACAATGAATGTAAAAAGGAAGATTTTTACTGCTTTTCCCAGGAAGAGAGAGAGAGACAAAAACGGGAGAGAGAGGAATCCAAGCGGGTGTTACAAGAATTGAAATCTGTACTGGGATTTAAAGCTTCAGAAGCGGAAAGACAGAAATGGAAACAGCTGCTATTCAGTGACCATGGTAAGCACTGCTTTGGAAAATTATTTTTTTTCTAAGAAAGGGTAGGTGTCTGTTTACCATCAACTTCTGACTATGTTGTTAGAATACTAATAGCACTCAGTTATAGTAGTGCCTTTGATAGAGCTGTGTGGCCCTTGTTTACTCTTCCATCTGTTTGTATTACTTTTTAACAATCATTTGACTGTATATTGAAAAGAACTCTAAGAAATGGGAATTTGGCTCCAAACAAAATAGTGAGCTAAAATATTAAGTATACAAAATATTAAACACAGAATTCAGAGAACTGTCAGGCAATAAACCATACTAACTGAGCTAACTTTCTTTGCTTTCCAGTAAATATGAATTTTAATGAGGGTGCATTACTAAATTGCTTTTCAGAATTTAAAGTGACCATCAGAATTTATCCCAGACTAACAAAAATTTGTAGATTAAAGTGAACAGCTAGACTTTGAAATATTAAATGCCCATAAAGGACATAAAAGAGGCTCTTGTTTCCATGAAAGAGTGAGTAAGCAGAATTTTTTTTTTTTCCAAAAAACTGTCAAGAAGAATTCTTTGGAACCAGCTCATACTCACTCTGATGAGGACTGCTAGGGAGCCCCATCCGCTTACACTTGGAGGCAGGAATATGCAAATTTCTCTTGCATCAACAAGACAGTCGATCTCAGTTCCAGCGACAGCACTGGATACAGCTTGATTGTTTTTCCTTCTTGAGCTGTTTGATTTGTTATCTTTACAATTGGGAATAGTTTGGTTTTTCATTTTCCGCCTTTTTCCCTTCCCTTTCCCATTTCCACCACTACCTTTTAAAGAAGGGTTAGGAAGAGCCCTCTAAAAATTTTTCTTGTCCTGTGTTAAGAAAAACAACGCTCATATGGCAGCATATCCAAGGATTCCGCCCCTGCCACAGTGTTCGCCAGGAAAGACAACCATGGATTGCATCCGTCAACAATTTAGTGGGAACACGCAGTAGCGAACTATACACAGTTATGAGACTGTTTCTTCTGATATCAGAACCACAAACTATCTGTGCTTCACAACTTTCTTCTTTATGTCCATTTAGCTACAACTATGGTAGAATAAATCTCTTGGCAATTGATATTGACTTCTCTTCTAGTTGAGTTAAAAAAGCAAAGACAGCAGATTGCATCAGATCCTGCTCGAGAGCAGGATTTACGTATTATCCTTCCGGTGTTCAATGGGACACCACACAACTGTTCACATAAATCTCTTCAAGTCTCTCTCTCCTCTCAGTTGAAAGGAGAAGGAAGGAATCCTACCTCCAGTCCAGGTCTTGACATCTTAGGTGTACTGACTGTTGCAAGAAAGAGATGTTGTCAGGAGAGCTTGCATAGAATATTTCCTATCTAAGTTAGGAGCAAGTACCTCTCCAAATCAGTGTATCCTCAGGCCATTTCTTGAATTAATGGACTGGCTTAACTGAACAGCTCTAACCCTGGAAAGAGTCAGCTGACTCCTATAATCTTCAGTAACATATAATGCTAACCTGGGACCCTTCATGACTGGCATTGGTTCCTTTCCTTTTCCTATTTGGATACAATGTTCCTTTAGGAGTAGATATTTTCTGGTGGGGAGGGAGGAAAGTGTGATTTCATTCAGCTGCTTAGGACTAAACATAGATTCCTTCTGTCCTTTACAAAAGTGGAAAATATGAAGAGAGTTTGTGAAAGCAATCCGTATTGACCTTACATAACCAGATAGACTATTAATTTAGCATTACTGAGCTCTCTGAAACTCCCTTCAACCATGTGGAGAAGTTTCTCTGCCTTTTTCACATTTAGCTTGGCAATTAATTCAGTGAGATGTGTCTGAACTCTTACAGCAGTACTTGCAAAGAACGTGTAAGTTATTTCCAGATAATCTGTGCTTCATTATGGTCCCAGAAAATTCTACATCATTCTCCAATCCAGAGGAGCCTGAAAAAAGTTTTTCTTTTCTCTTCTATTCTAAATCAGCTTTGACCTCTTCAGTCTTGCTTTTACAGGATGACTGTATTCCAGAAATCATATGTTCTCCTAGCTTGTGGTTACAGTGAAAAAAGGACCTGGAAGATTCTTAGGCTACAGTCTGTAAGTGAGTCAGTGCATCTAGCGAGGCATTCTGCTTTGTTAGGGTTTTTGGTTGGTCAACTGAGGTGCTGCAGAGGGTTTCTACATAAGAGGTCAGCTCCAAAAAGCTGCTATGTCTAAACAACGCAGCATTTTTTTTTTATGATGTCATCTGGAATTCCAGAAAAATCCCACAGTTTAGCAGAGTATCAAACGGAAGTAAATTTGCCCAGACCCAGCAACATGGTAATACCGCTTACAGTCTGGGTAGTAGTTAGTTGACTGGGCCGTAGGTGTGCTTACTTGTGGTCCTTTGGCATCTTGTTCAGTCAGTAAAATGAAAGCGCTCTTGGAAGAGGCCTGAGAAATTAGTTAGTAGCCTGGTTTTCATTCATCAAACTTTATAAAGCCATTTTCTTCTGGTGCGTTTGTAAAAAAAAAAAAAAAAAAAGTTCATTCTGTCATTAGATGTATTGTTCCCGGCTGTTTCCCCTCTCCCTTCTTGTCTATACAATAGTTCTTCTACAACTGTTTCTCAGTTCTTCCAGTACTGGGAAAGGTACGCGCTGAGAAATGATGAATTCTACCTTGTTTATTAACTAATCATCTCAGCAAGTTGGCCAGTTACCAATTTGAAGTATCTCTCTATTTACCTTTCCAGAATTTTTGGTTTTGGAAGTATTCTCTGGAGGAAGCAGGCAACAAAGCTGGCTCCTAAATGATAAGATTAGCCTGCATATTCCTGCCTCTTCAAGCAAATGGGCAGAAATAAGCAGCAGGGGTTTTTTTTTCAAGATGGGAAAAGAGCTGCTACATTAACGATTGTGATGAGTCTGGTGCAGTGCTCCTTCAGTATACGATGTTTTCAAACAAACAATACGATACAAATTCTAAGCCACAGTTTTCAGTGTGCCAATGAAAGTAATTAGCAATGTGACAACCATAATGATGTGCCTGCCTTCAGCTAGCTAAAATAACTATTACTGAAATAGGATGCAATGGAAAAATCCTAATACCGTAAACTTTGTTTCCCGTGAAAAGTTTGTGTATTTCCCAGAGTTATTTTCATCTCTGCTTACAGGGATAAAGTCAGAATGGAATTAGAAAGGGAAATCCACTTGGGAATCTGCTGTTGCCGCTCTCATTTATGTTCGTGCTGCTACTCTAATGGAGCTACTGCAGTTTAGGGAATCTGTTACTTGGAAATGGACCCTATATCGTTTTGTTAAAAAGAAAGACGTCTGTTCTTCAAGAAGTGATTGTACCGTGTTATACTAACCCTTAACACTGGGAGGAGAGACTTCTTGGCAAGCATCCCGTTGCTGGCAATGGGACTCGCTGCTGCTACTAACTTCAAGAGAGGCTAAATTAAACCACACTTTATTTGCGAGGACACCTTACCAGACTGTATGAATACATGTTGTGCTTACATGTTGTGATGTATGAGTTCAGATATTGCATATAAGGACTTTCTCATGTACCAGCTATCTTTATTGGAATAAGTAAACTGCTGTTTACAAGGAAGGCAGTTCAAATCTGTATTCAGTATAGCAATTTTACTTGTTTTTTACTTTAACATTGAATGCATCATCTGTGCTTGATGCTATTTTGAACATCATGAATATCTTGTCCTCTTTTTACATCACAAATTTTAAGGAATAGTTCAGGCATGTAGCTATCATGCTTCATCTTCAGCTTCCTAGTTAGAAAATGCTAATTTATTTTAGGTTTTCTTTGACTGTGTTTTTGTTATTGTTGTTTTGTTTGCTTGATTTTTTTAAATCCATTTTGACCCTTACATCTTTTACAATCCTCCATCTTTTAAGGCACAAATAGATTATTTATATATAGCAGCTTACTTTTTGTTATCATTTCATTTTTTCCCCCTTTTAAAGCTGCAGTGAAACCCTTGTCACCTGTAGAACCACTGAAGCTACTAAATAATTTGGAATCACCTATGAATTCAGACACAGAAAATCAGGACTGCAGCCAAAGTTGTGATAAATCTGAAGAAAGAGACTCTAATCTAAAAGTGAATGTTGCTGATAAAAGCAGGACAGTATATTTGTATGAAGATCCTGAGATGGAGAAAAACAAAGACGGTACTACTGATGAAAGTATTTCTACAGGGGCTGACAAAAGAACGTATTATCAGTGTGAAGGGGAAGGAGAAGAACTCACGCGGAGTGATGTGGATGGAGTGGAGGTTTCACAGCCTCCCTTTCAGGATGCATTGCATTCAAAAATCAAGCATAGGCTGGCCCAACTCCATATATCAACAGATTTTAACTTCACATCTGGTCTGGCTGCTCAAGTTGCTGCCAGGTCTCTTACTTTTACTACAATGCAAGAACAGACTTTTGAAGATGATGAGGATGAGGAGGAAGAAGAGAAGATTCAGGAGAATGAAAACCTTATGGAAGAGTGTGAGAATGAAGACAGAGGCTCTGAAAATGAAGAAAAAGTACAGGTCTGACCTGAACTTTGTTAGGCCAACAGCAGATGATTTGATAGAAATACCTAAGGTGGGGGTTTGAAGATGAAAATACTGAATGGAAAAATGGAGACCTAAATGTAATACATCTTGTTCCCTAAGTATGCTACGCTAAATAGGACTTCTAAGTATATTGAGAATTTGCAGGTAAGAGGAATTTAGGCTGCATCCAAAAAATAATTGGCTGTTGCCCCTTGAAGACCTTAGTGGTGGATTTTGGAATTTACCTTAATGTTTTCTGCTTTATTTATTTATATTATAATGTGTTTTTTTCTAAAAATAAGGAAAAATAATGTATTGAATTTCAACAGACTCCGTTTTTTGCTTTTTGACTCTGTGGTCATGGTATCAATGTTAGTTCCAACAAAAAAGCCAGGAGGCTTCTTTTGGAAGAACCTGAACTGATCCCTGTGATCTTCCTCCACCCCGTTTGTTTCACTTCTTGTGTCTGCAGTGCACTGGTTAAATCACCGTAGGCATTTTGTGATTCTGTAGCCAGTGATGCTCCCAACTAAAATGTAGAATTTTAAATAAAAACATGAAAGAGCTAGTGTTTCATGTGTCCTGGGATATGGGGCTGAAATATACTAAGTTAGTCATGCTTCATATTAAGGTTTGTTTAGAATTTTATGAAGGGTTAATAAATGATTTCAAGATGTTGTAATTCATGTTAGAGAAATATGTAGTATATGTTAGAGAAGGCTATAAACATGTCAGTAGAAAGTACTAGTATAGATAGCTAAAAGCTATCTGTTGGATTGATAATAGATGAGAATTAAATAGCTATTTATTAAAACAGCTATTAATTATTTGTTAACCTTTTGTAAATTGAACCTTAATATGTTTGATTTATATCATTTGCACAGGGTTACAGTTTGTTTATTGTACATTTGTGTTTATGTCCTGAAATAATTTTCTTAAAGCTAACTGAGTGCTCCACTTGCAACGTGCCCTACTTTGTTTAAACAGCATACTTGCTTTTCCCTAATGTTCTTTCATTTTTCCTTAGATCACAGCTATAACCCGTGTGACTAAGAGTCCATGAGAGAACAAGAACTGTGTATTTTCTGAGGTGTATCTTTTAACCTGTTGACACCTAAGTCTGGATGTTTGGTATGAGGTTATGTGGGTTTTTTTCTTTCTCTGTAGCAGTGATGTGAGGAGCAGCAAACTCTGGTATGGCAGATGGTCATCCCACAGAGGAGCTGAGCAGTGGTTTCACTGGCTTTTGCCCTCTGATATCTTGTGAGGAAAAGGTTCCTCGTCTCTGATGGTGAGAGAGCAGCCTCTCCATATGGAATGCTTTGCTTGGATCTGGATAAATTTCCAGTCAGAAATCATTTCACCCATTACTTAGGGCGTTGCCTCTTTGAACTCGATGATCCTTTAGAATAAAGGGTATGGAGATGCAAGTGGTTCAGAGTACCTTTCCTAGGATACTGTCGTGGGAAGCGGGGAAGCTGGTGAAGGTCAGCAGGTTGGGGCAGAACCCTTGGCCACATGTCAGAAAACAAATCCTTTCTTTCAACTTCCCTTTTTTCTAGTAGTGATTTCATAGGAACAGTGTGAGTGTAAATATGTGGCTTTCTTCACAGACCATAATTGGGTAAATAACAACTTACAGAAAAGGGAACATGTGACTCATTATTATTTTCACAATGTAATGTCTGTCTTCTCCCTTGCAGACAGCTTTTGGTAAGAGAACGTTTTGACTTGCTTCCAGATATATTGTATTTTGTGCCCTTAGTTATGTGTAGGTGGCTTGAATCTGAATGGATGATGTCTTGCTTAAAAAAAAAAGAAAAAAAAAACTTTTCTCCATGTATTCAGAAGCTAAGCCTCCTCTTAGTGGTAGAATCTGTTTTTCTCTAGGCCTGAAGAGGTTAGGCTAAGAAAATGAAATACTACCTTATTTCCTCCGTGGCAAGCAATTGTTTTTTTCAAGTCTAGAACCACTGCTTTGGATAAACTATATGTATTTGTTGTCAGTGCTTCTGAAAATGAAGTCTTCCTCGTCCTTGACTTGAGATCTTTGAGTTCACAAAGTGCCCAGATATTTTTGTTCCTAGATAATTGTTCTCACTGCCTTATAGTATATTCTGTTAATAAATATTACATGGAATATTATTCCATGAACTCACCCACCAGTATCTCATGACCTGATGTTGTGTATCCCAAAATTTCTTTCTTCTAAATCTTTCCTGTGGGATACAAATCTTAGTTTACAATGTAGACTGCTATGATAAGGACTTGCACAATGATCAAGTTTAGGATATGAATTATCATTGTACTCATAGTTTTTGATAAAGTCAGTAGTAGCATCAGTACTTAGCACTGCTGCTAAGATAGACTTCAGATCTTTCACTCTCATCCCTCAGCTAGGTCAGTTTGTGGCCATGTTATAAACCAGCTCATTGAGTCCACTCAGGTTAAAAATATAACTCTCTCTCTTTTTTTTTTTTTTCCATCTTATTTCGATGTTTACAGCATGTACCCCAAAACAGCATATACCATGATGCTAGGGTGAGGCTCAGGATCTCTAACACTTACATTAGTGGCAAAGACAGTGTACTGTGAAACTATAACCTTGACATTAGACATGGGTATGATCAAAGTATGAATTTTTGGAGCAAGTTCTGATCCTACTTTGAACAAACAGATTTTTTTACAAGCAATTTAACTGATTTACATGCAAATAAAATAGTCTTACTTAATTCAGTCTTAAATGTAACATATATGTGCATGTGGGGTCATTTGCTCTTTATTTACTGCCCTCCCTTCAGAAGAATATGGCTAACAGTCTACAACACACAAAGCTCAGATTCCTTTGATTTGAGAACCAGCTTCCAGCTACACATACATAGTCTGTTGTAACCCAGATTTTCTCATGATGATGTCGTCTGAAAGGACTGTGTGTACATGCTGCAGATTCCTTCAAGAACCTGACAGATTTCTTGGCAATCTTCATTTATTTATGCATTTAAAATAATACATATATAAACATACCAGAGCTTGTTTTAGAGCTAAAGAGTTTCATTAATATATTGAGCATGTCAAAGTCTGAGTGCTGTCTTGTATTCTTTGGCTTATTACTGTAGAGAGGGATTTTTGTAAAAACAGAGCATTTACTTCTTAGGACTTTGTAGCTTTTTGAAATGGGTTAATCAGGAAATCCACAGTAAATGATTTATGCCAAAGGATATCAGCAGCTAAAATTCTTTGCAAAGAGCACAGCTAACAATAAATGTATTTTCCATCATTCACTTTTAATTAGCAGCTCTGTGAAGCTGTAAAGAAATAAGTAGTTATGTATGGTTAAATAATTGCTTCTTCTCCTGACCTACCTGCAAGGCACTCCAAAGACGATATTTGCTTTCAAGATTGGATTGCAATCTAGCACTACATCTTCTGTGTCACTTAATTTTACAGTTACAGAGATAGGTAAAGGCTCAAATGGAGAAAAAGATCTATAATAAGAACAGTAATTGCTCCTTTTGTTAACGTATGCCGTAGTGACAGAAATGAAACACTAGTGTAAAGGAAGCAGACTGTGAGAATTACAGACAATTCAAAATCTTTCAAATGGGCTAGAATGTGCTTGTGTCAACTACAAACAAGATCATCAAACGTGAAGGCGTCTGCTGTTGGCTTCAGTAATAAGACAATTTCACTCCTGATAAAGGATCACTGGATCTTGCAGTTAATTATCTAAATATAAGGTGAAGTCCCGGCAGAGTAGCCAGTTATACTGAGTTTCCAGACTGTGCACTCAGCGCATCTATTTTAGCAGGTTGTTAGTTTACATCGGCAATTTTATGTGCATTTGAATAGAGAATTTGTGACAGTTTGTTAATTTCTTTGCTAGTAAAAAATCATCTAAATGGTGAGCTATAGAGAGTGGTTGGCCTGCACTGACCTTTGCAATCCTGTAATCTATTCTTTTTTACAGAAACAAAGGCCAAGTATACTAAACTGCCCTTGTTTAAAATTCAGCAAAGGGCTGTTACTGCTCCGTAAGTAGCTCATTGCCATGTTAACCACTCTAGAATTTAAAGCTTTTCTTAGTGTCTCATCTGAATAAGAGCAGAGAGTGTGAGAACGGTAGAATGGTTGCGCTTGGTCAGAGTAAAGGGTGGTGCTGCTCTGCAGTCTTGTCTCTGATAGCAACTAGTAGCAGCTGCTGAGGGAACAGTATGAAGACAGGAAGATCATGTAATGCTGTTTCCCCCAACTACTTCCCTTGTCCGAGACAATCTGTGGCTCAGCTCAGGGACTTCCTGAGCCAGTGGTGGTGGCTGCCAGTTTAACAGGCCTTGATGGAATTTCCTTTCTAAACTGAACAAGCCCGCTTCTATCGGTTCTTCCACAAAGGTCATATTTTTCAACATTTCAGTTGCTTTCCTTAAAAATCTGTCCAGTTTTTGAAGCATAATGCCCAGATTGTGATGCAGTACTCCATACGCAACCTCGCCAGTAGAGTATGGAGTAATAGTCACCTCACATAAACCACTGAGCCATTAAATTATTTTTGAGTTCATCTAGGAACAAAATCCTTTCAGAATTTTTACCCCCAACTACTAAGATGACAAATGAAAATATTTGGTCTGATGGAGGAGAAATATTTATTCGCTGTCAGTAGAATTTGGTTGGACAATGTTTTTCTTTGCTAACAAAACAAGAAGTTGTTAAATCAAAATGATCTTCCAACAGCTGCCACCTGGTCTAACATAAACTAAAGACGCCAAAAAACACTTGTTGAAATTTCAGCTTGACTTTTCAGAGCTGTTCTGATCTCTGATGAATAAGTATGTATCACAAAATATATTATTGCACAAGAATCATGGGAGTGGATATATGGATATCAGAGATCAAACTGAAGGCTTACTTAGCGAATTTTTAAAATGCTTGGAAGCATGCTTTATTCATATTCACGACTTTTGATGGTCTCATCTATATGTTTTTATTTTACCATCTTGAATTTTAAATTTAAAAAAAAAAATTCTCCTTGATTTAATTGACTTGGAAATTTGTGCAGTAATCAGGTAAGTGGTAATGGTACGGTGATGACAAGTGATAATAAGACCAGGTTCATAGGTAGGGGTGATATCTACCTACCTATGAACTTTGCTTTGTAAACAGATGCAGCAATACAGTTTGAGCTACAGATACTCAGTATAACCGTTTTAGATACTCTGTCTGACCTTGCACCTGGCCATCTCTAAGCTACAGACAGGTTGTAAGAATAAAATTTGACCCAACTGTTTGAATGCTCTGTTAGCCCATTTTACACTTTCTGAATTTGACAAAAGATTCTGAAGAAGTGACTATAATTTAGTAGATGAGGGAAAAAGGGATTGTTTCTTTGTTACAAAGTGGCTTCTTTTATAAGGGTTGAATGCAACCAAATTTTGAATACTTTCACTCCTATGAAAATATAAAAGATGTCAGATGAAGAGGGCACACAGGCAAGCCCATAAAAACACATTAACAGTAGCTCATGTCAGATACCTATATACAGCTCATTAGATAGCTTTAGGATACTTTTTAAAGAACTTACATTTCAGGTTAAGAGATAAGATGTCTTTTTGTAAATACACTTACTGATGTAAGTAGTAGTAGTTATAAGAGCAACTTAGAATAACTGTAGAGACTGATTTAGTATTACTATTTTCACACTGCTTGTGATTCATAACAATGCCCCAGGTGATACTGTACAAGAGAAGGATACGAGGTTTCCTCCCTCAGTTTACTATCTAAGCAGTAGAGGCAAGGCAGTTAGTGTATTGAGAATGTTGCTTATCATCCCGTGCCATGAACCACTATCTTACTTTGCCCTCTCCTTCTTAGACTGTACATGTTCTGGGATAAAGCCTGTCTTTGCTGTGGATCAAGCAGGTCCTGACTGGAGTTTCTGTGACACAAACGTTAAACGTTTATAAGGAGTGACAAGAGTCCAGGGAAGGACAAACCAAGGGACTAACGTGGTGGTAATGGTTGAATTGATCATGTCACTTGTAGGTTTTTTCCTTGTATTTTTTGGATAGATAGAAAGAAGTTTCATGGGTAGAGAGAAATAAGTTTTTAAGGATTGTTTTGGACAAGATAGCGTTAACGTAACAAACTGGATCAGGGAGGGAGCTCCATTTTTGAGGACATTGTAAAAGATGCAGAGAAGAGAGCTCACACCTAAAGGCATGGTGAATAGTGCAGCTTGAACTATTTGTGAGGAGAGGGCTAAACGCTCATGGCCAGCGCTGTCAGAAATGTGCTGTGGTTTATTTCATCCTTTATAAACATGATCAGCCTATTCTGACCTTTATAACTTGTTAGTTTTTATTCTTAAGGCTTCACAGACAGTCTTCTTTAGGGAATGTAGTCCAGGCATCCTCTAGACTGGGCTGCATGGGTCCTCTGCTGTGCACTCTCAGTCCCTCCTTTAGGCTGGCTTTTGCAACCATACAGTAATTTAGGGCTGAAAATGCATCACTTCTTTAGCTTTCAGCTGGGCTGTCTCCCTCAACTGACTCATCATGTGATTGAAAGAGCACTAATACCAGCTCAGGGGAGAAGGAGGGAATACATGTCTAGCAAAAAGAAAGAAGGCTATAGCTCAAATATAAGTCAGTTTGAAGTATGTCATTAATGTTTACATGCTGTGAAGTACATCATTAGTGTCCATACTAAAGCAGGATAAACTCAACTCTATACGTTGCTTCCCTCACCTCCGTATTTTCTGTTGAATAATGATGATGCCACCCATTATTTTCCTAAATCATTTTGACTTCTCCCTCTTTTTTGCTCTTCATGCCTAGGCTGTCTAAGACCTGTTGTGTCTTACTCTATAGGGTCTCTAGGATGTGTTTATTATACTGCCAGTCAAACCAAAATTATCAGGCAAGTCTTTTTCTCTTCTCTGAACACTGTTTCCACATTTCTGGTCTCTGTGACACCCACAGTCCTTTGCCTTTACTGCTGCTCTCAGGGGTTTCAGATTTTAAAATAATACATATTTTTTTCTTATGTGTTTGTAACACAACTTGATTCTTCTGTACCTTTCAGCACTTGAATGACTAGGTTTAGAAATGTATATTGAATTTCTCAATTGACTTGATTTAGCAAGCTAACTGCAAGCTATCCTGCAGAGAACTGAAACAGAAGATGGATACTATAATGGGGAGTGTTGCAGTCAAAACAGAAATAATAATGTGTTTCAGCTCAAATTTATACCACCTTTTTCTTTGTGTTGGCTTTTATAAGTATTTCTGGTTTGCTGAAAAACATAGGTTGTATTTTAGAAATAATTACAATTGTAGCACAAAGTCCCAAAATGAGTATGTTACTTGTGCACGGGTCAGGCCAACAAATCTTCATATTTAAAGACTGCTTCCTGACCTTCTCCAGCTGCATGAAAGAGAACAGAGAATAACTTCAAGTTCCCAAATAGAAAGTGACCAATGCTTTCCTTTATTTCTTGCTATTAAGAAGAGACCCGTTCCTAAATAAACAAAAAGAGAAAAATCAGTGCTTAAAATCACTCTTCAGTAGTCATTACTAACAGAGGATCAGCCATTTCATCTGGATAGTAGCACCGTAAATGAGAGGCTGTTTATGATGTTTGATGTGTGTGTTCCTTAAATAAAATAAAAGGCTTTTTATGTCCAGTTACACAATTTTATATTTACTCTGGGATGAAGGCCAGAAATCCATGAATTGTCCCCAGGATCTTTCATCCAAAGTCACAGATGGTCAAATTTAAACGAGTCCAAGCTGTCAGTTTCTGTGCAGCTCAGTATGCCATTGTACTCAAAGTTGTTAATGTCCTAATGTAAATGTTCACAGACAGCAATGAGCTAGTGAGCTCGTGAGCTCTAGATCTGGAAAGGTTGTAGAGATCTGGCCCTCATAGATTAGTGCTAAGTGAAACTTATACAGGACCAGGAAGCCTCAAAAGTGCTCTTTGGGCTATTGACCTTGTCTTCCTCTAAAGCAGGCATCCATGTCATATTCAATCCTACTCGTAAATGTATTCCGCCTTCTTTGTAAGCTATACAAGCCAAACTCTTTTTTTTCTCTCCTATTTTACTATCCTGTAATGTACCAGGTAATGTATTCCCAACAGAAACATAAATATTAGTGGCCATACTGAAAATTACTGGACCTGGGCATGCAAGTGCTAGAGAGACCCTTCTAGTTTGACCATTTCTGGAAATAATTATACTGGGATGATTGCCTATGGGAGCACTGAACTAGATTCAATGTCTTTGGAGATATCTTTCAAACCTGCAGTTTTTGCTGTGTGCATTCTTTCCTCCAGTGGTGTGTCTTCCTTCTTACCAGTCTTCAGCACTTCTCTAGTATTCTGCTTCCAACTTCCTAGGAGCTAGGCCACTTTTCGCTTCTTTTCTGAACCTGTTGTTTGAACCTCATGAAACAGCAGAGCAGAGAGAACCCACACCCATGCACTGCTATGCATTTCTATCCATAAACAAAAGTATTCTTAGGGCTGATATCTTGTCTGTCCTGACTTTCCTTCCAGGGAGGTTTGACCTCTTTTTCAGCATGGCCTCCCTATTCCTTTCTGGCCTTTAGAGGATTCCCTTCCAGGAATCTCCCTCCTCAGTGATAGCAAGATGCTAACATCTCCCCAGCAAGCCTGATTCTTAGACACATGTTCCTCATTACATGAGCTTTACTTGTTCTTTCCAAAAGGAAGGTGGCACAGTTAAGACTGAGTCTTAGTTGCCCCAAATAAGCTTGCTTCTTGTTGTGATAGGGGCTGAAAATATGCTCTCCAGCTGCTATGCCATTGTGCTTTAGCTCCCCAGCTGCCTAGCCTTGAGCCCTAGAAGCTTTGGGAACTAGCAGTTGTGCTTAAACCTTCCCCGTTCTCCAAGAGCATGTGTTTTCAGAACATAATTGATACTGAATCTCCCCTGAATCAAACCGTTTCCAAATTTTATTGAGCAGTAATAATGGATTGTGTCCTAATTTTAATCAAAAGGGTGTGAGTGTGTTGTTTGTTTTTTCATTTTTATTGTACATGTACATTGCCAGGTATCACACTGAAAACCTTGTCTGGCAAAGAGCTTGTATATTTCGCGTATCAAACTTTACAGTTATTTACTCAGGAGATAAATAAAAACTTATTTTTTCTTAGAAAGTTATCTAATGGCAAGAGAACTGAATGCTGTTCTACCGAGTAGGCTCTGTGGAGATACTTAAAATGCACACTTACTTCACATCCTTAATTAGAAAAGCTATTTAACTTTGTTTTCTCTTATCAAGGCTTTGCACCTGAGCTGCTGTGAGTGCTTGTCTGTCCATCTGTCCTATCTTCAACATATACAAAATACATATCCCTCAGCATTTCCCAGAATAGGGCCTCAGGGCAGTACGGATTGTCAAAGGAAACCACAGTGAAAGCAATGGATCTTGATAGGCTGCTGTTTAATTGGTTAATAAATTAAAGTTAAATATAAAAGGAAATGTTTAAAAGAACAAACTACAGTGAGAGACTCCTGGCAGGGCTACAGAGAGAAACTGCATGTGATACACTCTGAAGTTCACAGGCACTGAGAAAGATCCAAAGTTTCTCTTTGGTATGGAGACAGGAAACACACACCAGACTAGTAGTCTTCAGCAGCTCTTAAAAAAAGAAAAGGAAAAAAAAACAGAACAAACAAACAATTTTATCTACATTTCATTTCCACAGACTCAGTCCTGCTGTGCTGGTATATCAAGCTGTATGTGAATCAGTCTGCATATCTCTTCCTTTAAGCTCTGTATAATGTCAGTCTCTTTCCTTCAACTGCAAGTTCTCAGGGCAAATCCTCCTTCCACAAAGCAAAATCCCTCGTGTATATACTGATCTCTGCTAAATGTGTGGTTTGCACCTAACCTGCCAATTGCTGACACTGTTTTAATCCCTGTGCTGATTAGATTGGCCTTGAGTAGGTTTAGATCAGCAGGTGTTTAAAGCAGTTATGAAGCCTGCAGTCTGTCCAGGTTAAGGCTCCAAGTATTAGTTTGGGGTCAGCTATAGGTAATAGCAGAGAGACGTGAACCACTTGTATTCGTGGGTTTCTACTGTTTCTTTGGTTTCTTTGTGACAGCGGTTCCTGCCTGTGACATTTTCCCAAACCCTCTTGTTTCTCTTTTTCTTATTTTCACATTTTGCTTCCTTCCTTTCTCCCATGGATGTGAATCAGGACTGAAAGTCTTTTTAGCATGTTTGATAATGTGCATCACCATGATTATTTTTAACCCTTTTTTATTTGGGGGGGAGGAGGGGTTGAGTTTCCCCGGTTTCAGAAGTTAGATCTCTCAAATTCAGTCCCATTCACTTTGAAAATCTTTTTGGTTGCTAATACTTCTTTAGTGCCTGTAATAAAACTATCCCTCACTATTGTGTGTATCGTTTTTTCCTCCTTATCCTGTACTCCTGACAGCTGCCTAGGTGGCCTGGATATGGTTTGTCTACCCTTCAATTCGTAATGATTGAATGGGAGAGGGGATGCTTTCACAGGGCAGCATAAATGCTATATCAGCACTGTTGTCTGATTCTTTTTTAAATAGAAGTTTATTTTATAATTCCACTTTCCCTTAGAGATGCACTTCATTTTAAGCAATCTTAGCAATAGTTTGTTTCTGCAGTATCTTTTGCTGGCTCTTTAGTATGAGCGCTTTATTAAAGAACACTAGTTGCTCTTGTCTGTGTAAGTGATAAGTGAAGAAGGAATCTTTTTCTGTGTGGCATATGCTTCTGGATGCATCTTCCCATAATTTTTTCAGAGGCCTGTCTGCTGTGCAACCATGTGGCACTTTTAGCATCACATAAATAGGTAGGTGGGGGCTTAGGGGGAGAATATTGTGTCAACTGAGGAGGCTGGTAGCAGGTAGATTTCTGACCTAGGAGCTGAGCTTAGGTCCTCTGCAGGAGATATGTCTTCTAATTGTCTTGCTGTAAGATTCCTAAGAAAGAGATTTGCTCTCTACACTTCAAAAGCACTAAAATAATGGAGATGGTACAAACTGTTCCCTTTTACCTGAAGCTTTGTGGCTCCCTCACAATTCTTAGACTGCTGGTGTTAGAAGCTGTGACTGATACCCAATATCAGACACCTTCCTGTAAACTTTCCCTGTCTTGGGGTCAAGATTAACAAGCTGTTGATCCCTCTTCTCACTTATGTATGACTCACTCTCACCTGTTAATTCATATCCTCAGGAAGAAAAGTTTAGAGATGACTGGGGAAGAGGGGAAATAATTTGATCTTGAAAGGCAGGGAGAAGCTTGGTGAGGCAGGGGTATTTTGGTGTATTGAATCTTGCTGCCTAATTGTGCATAATTTGTTGTATAGTAGAAAAGTCCTGCTTATTCTTTGCTATTTCCAGGTTTGTTTGGTTTGAGTTTTTTTCATCTTGAATACCGAACAGATCCAATTGCTGCTGTTAGAAGGGGAAGCCTGTCTACCGAGAAGGGTCCATAATGATTTTCTTCACTTCTTGGAGAGTTTTTGAATGCTAAATTGCCTGTGTGTATTCTTCATGTACCATATGCAAATATTCTTCAGGAAGTGATACTACCACTTCAGACAGTCAATATTTTCTATGTAAGAACTGTACACGTTTCCTATACTGCCAAGAATGTATATATATCTATGAAGACTTAAGATTGTATCTTTTTGAGCAAGTCTCTTTCTTTAACCATCTGAAATTTTCCTCCTGTTTCTCAAGTTCTCTGCTAATTTATTAGACACTTGTGTTACATTGTGTACTTTTTTGTATTGGCTGTATTGCTATATTTCTCCTTTCCCTCATTAAAACCTGTTCTTCTCATCCTTTTACTGTGCTGCTTTACATAGCAAATACTCATACCGTATCAGGTAGCCTGGTCTAGTAAAAGCCAGTCTTTCAGGTCTCTTACGATACTATTCCACTGATCCCAACATGTAATCAGTAGTACTGCTACTGCTAGTCTACTGTTTTAAGCTTCTCTAGGGTTGTTTAGAGCATAGTCCATACTTTTGTAAGATAACGAAGAAGCTGTCGTATGAGGGATCATGGGATACTCACAGTAAAAATAAAGGGACAATATAGAGAAAAAGTACTGAGAGACAAAATCCGTAAGTCTCTTGTATAGGTGTTTCTGCTGATGTGTGCATAGAAACCTATGAGAGAAGCAGGTTTTGAGGAGAGATTTGGAAGAGGAATCTAAGAGCATCTTGTTTCTAGAATGTGGCCTTCAACTTAGGAAGTTTAGTTGTCTACACTGTCTCCATCCTTAACTCATCTTGCACGTTTAAATGTGTATAAACTCCAACTTTCTCTTGGTGATATATTGAGGACACAAAGCTACAAGGTATCATCTTCTTTCATACCTGAAGCCAGCTGTTTGTTGCGATTAGAAACAATTTTGTGGAAATTCTTCAGGAAGTTAAAAACTACTTGTTCTATTACACATGTAACTGTTTTAAAGTTAGGAAAGTGCAGTTCCCAAGAAATCACTACATGAACAGATGCTTTCTTTTTGCTCCCCATGAAAAAGCACTGATGCTGCTGTAAGAAAACACTTCTGTTTTTTAGAAGATGTATGTACATCCACTTGGCCTGGTATTGCATTGTAGAGGGGCATCTTTCCACATTCTTCTCTACAAACTTCATTTTATACTTTTTTATTGTTGGAAATTTCCAATCAGCTTTAAACACGAATTAGAGCTGAACCTCCAGTTCCCTCAAAGAGAAGAACAAATGCTGTTTTATAGATTTACCCCTTTCGAAGGTCAAACATTTGGAAACTTGCAAATGCTTCATCAAAAAGATGTGGTAGGTGATCCTTTTGTCTGGATTTTCTGCCCGGGTTACTGGGAAAATCTGCTTTTATTTCATGCTTTAATTTAAACTGGAATGCAACTTTTTTTTTGGTTATGGCAGCCTGCTAAGGAAGGCAGTGCTAAATGCCATTTACCAGGCATGTCAGAAGGGGTCATTAAACAAGGAGGAAGGAAGCTGTTGTCTGCCTGCGTGAACAAGTGAAGAGGTAAAAAAAAATTTTCCACTTTGACTAAGGCCTTCTTTACAGAACAAGAAAAGAAGCTGTGTTCATGACATAAATGGCTACTCTGAATACAATGACATACATGGGGTGTCTTTTTCTAAAAATTTATCCTTGCTCTGGAAATAATGTTGGTTGATATGGTTGGTTTCGCTAAGTTCTACCTAACCATACAGCTGAAGGAAAGTATCACGAGGATTAACTAGCAGCTTCCCAGGAAGCACACCCCCTTTACTCTTATGAGTGCTTCTTGTCCCAGAGCTTTTCTGACCTGCACCTTTTTCTTTCTCTTTGGCAAAGATGGAATAAAAACATCAGTTAAATGTATCCCTGCTGAGAACAGGGAGACTGGGCTGGAGACACAAGGGTAGGGATACAGCCATGCACTTACTCTCCTGACACGTACTACAGAACGTGTGTTGCAGCAGTTGTGCTTACAAGCATAGGAGGAGTTACAGCCCTCTGATGTCCTTCTTCCCATCAGCCTAAGAAAGGAGGTATGAAAAGATGGATGGCAGTAACATCACAATTTATCTTGGAGTTGCAATCCCAACTGAATAGATTGCTCTGTCTCAGCCACTTAGGATTCTCCTCCTTTACCTTCTTTGTTGACTAACGATTCCTGCACCATGCTACAGCTGCTTTATATATGCTCCTCAGGGTTCAAACATGTCTCGGGTACATCTGGACTTTCCATATTTACTGATATGTGTAAATACTGATCCTGAGCTAGAACCCGCAAAAGAAGACGTAATGCATCTTCTTTATTTTATGCCTGTGGGCTAAGTGTGCCTCTGATGTGGTATCCATATCTGTTCTTACTTAGCTGTTAGAGATGTCATCAGTGCAAAACAAATGGGAAAATCGTCACAAAATCCAGAACAGATTTACGACCAAAACTCCATCTGCCAGGTAGATGAAGAAGAAAAACTGAGGAGGGCCAGCATGAGTTTGGGTAGGACCTGTTTGCTTACTTGCATTAGAGAAAACAGCTCCTTTACGGACAAGAAATCACGCCATGAGCAGATAAAGAAAGTATTGTCATTTCTATATCCTCCTAGTGAAAAGCAAGATCTTCAATGTTTCACTGATGCTAATCCCCATTTAGCAGTGCAGGATCTTCCTTGACCTACAACTGTACTGTCAATATCATCCTCTCCATAGTGTGGTATGGAGAAGGAAAGAGTTCAAAATTCCACTACAGTGGGCCCAAAGTACTGGAATAAAGAAAGGAAGTGAACAGAACATGCATGTGCACCTATGATCTGAATATCTGGCAGTTTTTGAATTTGGGAGATCAGCTGGCAAGAGAGAAAACATCAGAAGCATCAGTGCTTGGCAAATCTACTGTTCCCTTTGTAATTAGACACTTATTTGAGGATAAAATTAATCATCTCAGTAGCACTACCTATGTAATTACAGTAGTATATATGGAAATAGCCATGCCACCTAGCCTTGATCTTCTCTCAAGCTCCTCATCACTCTCATTAAGGCTGCTTTTGTTCTCCCACTTGCCCATGTGTTCAGAGCCTTGTAGACTGTCCCAGTGGTAGCGTTAAAGGATTTCTTGCAATGGTGCTGTGGCAGCAAGGAGAAGAAATGCACCTGTAGAATAAACCTCAGCTCTGACCAGATGTGAAATTTGTTAAAACTTAGACTTAGGCAATATTCGGGTATAGACTGCTTCCCATGCCTATCTGTTTGACTGCATAAAGGCCTTATAAAGTTGCATTAGGGATGGTGCCATAGTGGGAAATGTTTAGGAAAATTCTAGTGTAGAGAAAATAAACAAGGAATTCCACAGCCTAGTGCAGCCTTTCCAGTCACGCAAAGAAGGATTTGCAAAAGCACACAGCCCAAACCTGGGCGTCCTGACTCCAGTCAAGAAAGCTTGCCCCACTGACTTTGAGAGAAACCAAGGTAAGACGTGAATTAATGCATTTGAAAATGCTGCTATTACTTGCCTGCCATATTTAATCCCTGTCTTCTCTACTACTCCAGTAATTGTTCTGTGTGCACAAATGAAGCGACAAGCTTCATTCAGAGAAGAAAAATAACTTTAATAATGTGCTATTTTCTGCCATTGCTCAATATAAATGGGAGGTATTAGTTTGACATGCTAAAGAGAAACGTAACAAAGGAACAGACCTTCCATGACCTGTCAAAGCTAGCTAAGAGCAGCTCAACAAAAGACTGCATGCTTCATTTTGGGCTATATCCCGTGTTCTTCTTTGCTACCACTACTGTTCAGCTGCTCCTCAGCTGCTAACGGTAGCTTAATAGATCATCATCACACCCTGTAAGACGTATTGGTAAAATCAGTGGTGGAACACGGTGGCCTCTGCATTCATACCAGGCACTTTGAAGCTCTGGTTTGATTATGGGTTTGCAGCCCCACCAAATTACAAATAATAATATGGCTCCCAAAAGCTGTGTAATAAAATATATTGCAAAAGTTGCAACTATTTCCCCTGTCTGCCTCTGCCTTTGTCTCTGCTTTGAGAGTTTCTGTAGAAGAGCTAGCTGTTGCAGTGTTTGCTTTAGCTCCTTGGAATGCTCCCTCCCTAGGCTATACCTCAGGATGCAGCTGTGAGGTATTTACCCTCCGCTGCTATTTCTCGAGGTTATGTATCTAAAGCTTCCCTACAACTATTAACTAAATTAAGAAGTTAGTTCCTAGCAGACTCCTGACAAAAGCAATTGGTCTTTTAATTTGCACTTTAGTTTTTCTGGATAGTGCCCAAAAGGAAATATAGCAGATCCTAAAACAACCAAGTCCTAGTTAGACCTGTTACAAAGAGAAATGGGGGATGTGCCCAGGATCTTTGCCTGTTTTTCGTTATTTCCTTCTTGCTCAAATTATTCCATAGCTCAGCAGAGTTGGGGTTAGACAATCCTAACTGCTGAATGAGGCAGGAGGGAATATACAAGATGGAGAACTTGTGAACGCACCATAAAGAGGATTGCTTTAATGGTGATACTGTACTGTACTTGTTGCTTTGAGTGCTCTGTATTTAAGGAACCGAACAAAGAAGCCAAAAGTCTCAGAATGAAGCAATTAAAAACCATGATGATTGAAAGTAAAATACCTGAACCTGAAATTGCTCGGAAGACAGTAACCCATGCGGTAATCACTCCTTGTCTTAGCCACTTGTTTTTGAAGGTCTTCAGTTGATTTGCTGTATCCATTGAAAATATAGTTGGCAAAGAGTAGCTTTCCTTGAATGTACATCTGTCAAAGAACAGAGAAAAAAATGCAGAAATTGGCAAGAACAACCGGTTATTCTAAATGAAGATGGTAAGTTGAGAAAGAAACAAAAATGGTAGTTAGGTAAGTGGCTTGGCTTACAACTTCATTATGGCTTGCAGCTTTCACCTTTCACGACTTTGGTAAATAAAATATTTGATTGTGTTTAAGAAACTAAAAAGTAAAATACTTTCACAGTTTTCTAGTTCCTTTTGCACAAGATTTCAAAACACAGCATACTGGAGTGTATGTGGAGCATTTCACATGGTGCTTCATGGACTACCAAACACCACCGCCATCTGTCCTGGTAATATTTCAGTTTAGAAAGGTATGGCGTAACATACCATATTTGAAGATGAACACAGATAAATAAAGTTGGCATAGGAAAAAACGGTTTTGTTTCTTTTGCACCCGTGGCATTAGCTTAATATTTTTCTTCGTTTTCTTTATTAAGGAGGGATAGAAATAGAGTATCATGCTTCTAAACTTTTATAAATAGCAATGAATTTTCCTCTTATGAACACTGTATCTAATTTGGAAACAGCTTTTTAGAGAAGAAAGGTGATCAAGGTAATCTGATGAACTTAAATCTACAGGAATTAATTAGGTCTAGTGTTTAAAGCCTTAAGGGTTGAAAACATGGACAAAATCTGAATCTTTAGCAATTTTTTCTCCCTAGAAAAGTAAAATAGGAAACTTAAGCTAATTCAGAGCTGTTCAGAAAAATCCAGAAACACTTTTCAAATATATTTTCACAATTATGAACTTGTTTTCATTTATGAAGTACAGTTCATGATGTCACATGCATTTGAGTGTTTCCCGAAGCTGGCATTTGGAGATGACTAGCTCATCGTGACATCCTCAACAAAAGAGGTGAGTTAAAAGCCAGATCCTGTTTTGTGCTAGAACCTGCAGTTCTCAAAGAAGTCAGACTTAAGATGCCTTTTGCAATAAGATCTCAACAACTGACAGGACAGGGCTTTCTGGATTTTTAGAATATTTCTGTTGGTTTTACATGGGTTGAGCCTTTTGGTTTTTAATGTTCCCAGACTCAGTATTACCAGAGCAAATTCAAGAAAAGATGAATACTTTTCCCATGTTGCAAAGACAGTTCCACATGGATGAAACACCTGAATGATCTCAAAATAAAGACTTAAAGAAAAGCCTGTTGAAATATTACATATACAAAGAAAGAAGGTGAGAGCATTCTCAGCTTTTTCTCTGTCAGTACTGAAATGGTGCCAGATTCTCACTGACATGAAGGTCTGTGTCATTGTTTTGGCAGTGTAAGATGACCTTTGTTTAAGGGAAAATTGGCTTCATTGAATTTAAAACTGTAAGAATCATTTAAGCTCGTGTACTATCCAAAGCTGCTTGTGTTGTGGGATGTTCCCAGTGTTACACAATTGGAAACATCTGTCTTATTTCATAGAAGCTCTCAGCATGCAGGACTCCAAGTGAAGACTTTTGAATATTTCAGGGTAATGCATATTCAAGTAACAATGGATGCATTCACTAGAAGGAAATCCAGAGGATCACTAAATTGTCTTCATCTTACCAAGATGTATTCATCTGTAATGTAACCAGTAATGAATGTGACATAGAGCCCTGCTTTTGCTTGTGGGTAATTGAGAGGAAAAAAAAAATTTATATCAAGCATTTTTCAGTTTTATAGGCAAAAGCTATTATGATAGCATTGTTTCCCAAGCTGTGAAACACTTCTTTCAGTCTAGTAGCTTGTCTTATTACTATAAAGAGCTCTATTTATCAGAGTGTGCTGAAGCTCTTGTGGAGAGAGGCACTCACATGAGTGTGGAATTGGAAGTGATAAACAGGCCCTCCCCTGCTGAAATCATACTTTGTGAGCAGTGTTAGCACCATAAAAAGGGAATCCTGTATGTTCGCCTTGGGATACAGGCTGGGTGTGTGTTGGGAGGTGGAAATGACAATAGCATTTGGCCTCAGCCACTGATTCTATGACCATAACATAAACTTTTATGACTGTATGTTTTCTCCTTCAGGTAAACTCTTTGCATATGTTCTGACTTTCCTTACTCTTGATTTTGCTACCTTCATTTCAGTTTCTTCCTCACATTTTATTTATACATTTGTTTCTTTCCCTGCTTCTTACTTTTTTCACAGCAATACCTTATCTTGCTTTCCATAACTGACTCTCTCAGATTGAGCTCACCCTCCTTTCTGCCCAGTCCTACTTCTCACTATACAGACGCTTCTGCTCTGACATCCAGTCTTTCATATCTCCCTCATATCTTTGTCGTCCTTCGTTGTTTCTGCATGTTCTTCCTTTGTTTAGGGGGGATCACAGAGAGCGAGGGAACAAACTTTCAGCCACCCATAGCTCAGCTTACTTCTACTGCTCCATAGGCTGGGAATTTGTGCTTTGGTTTGGTCACTGTTCCCTGGTCTACTCTGGTCTTTGGGCTCCCCATGCAGATACCTCAATTAGTTTCCTCTGCCGCTTCAAGCCCTTAGGAATTGGGCTGTGCAGTTAAGTGCCTTTCACTGCCAAACTGGTATGGAAGCAACACACAGCACTCCTCTCATATTTGCTCCATTTAACCACTGGCATTGTCCTACTGCTGAGATGTGGTGGTGTACATACTAGTTATGATAGTTCATGTAGAGCTCTGACTCTCTTTCAGTGTGGCTAATGATGAAAACTGCAACAAGTAAATAGGGAAGTAACCTTTTGCCGCTGCAGGATTGCCTATAGAATGCTTGGAAAATTTATAAATAACAGTGATATTCTCTGACACATATGTTTTCTGTAATTGTACAAAATGAAGAGCCTGATAGAAGGGGTGGATAAATCTATGTGAAAGATGATCTGATGCATTAATACAGAATACATTGAAACTTTTCTGGGGGAATATAAATCAGTAGGCTGCCTCTGGCAATCACCATTGCTGTCAGAGAAATGTAGCCCTTTTCATTACAATTCACCTGGCTGATACTGTGACATTATGACATGGAGGAATTTCATTATTCTCTGCACCAGAAGCAATCAGTTTGTGCCTTCAAGCATAAAGTTTGAATATGCTCGTAACTTTGCTTTGCTTGCATAATGCATAAATGTTACCAGTCAAAGTTTTCCAGCGTTTTTCAAATTCCTGTCACTCTTCTGATGGCCTTCTGTGGAATGTGACTGTCACAGGCTGGCTTTTTATGGCATGAATGAGAATTTGATCTTCTATAGGGCATCCTTCTGGCTTGGCTTACTCTAAAACCCCAGGAGTTTATAGAATAAGACTATTCATTAGCAAGCAGCTCTGAAGGCCAATTTTTCTCGATAGACGTAAATAGGTATAGCAAAGCTCATTTACCCCTACTAGGGTAAATTTAATCCAAAGCCTTACAAAACTCAAGTCGTTAGCGAAAGCCAAGACATAAATCTGGATGGAGGCATTTGGGGTGGGAGGGGAGAATATTCTTTCTCCTCTGAGCTAAACATAGTTCTGGCAAATGGCCTCAGACTGAAATTCTTAAAGGAGTCATAATAAGCAAGCCAGGGCAAAGAGGAATATTTTCTTCTCCCTGGCTAATTCTGCCAAATAAAAAGGTGAAAGGTCAAAGATGAACTTTAATGCTAATAAAATTCTGAACTTAGAGCGGCAACATGTCAGAACATAGAAGAAAGTCAAAAGAGAAAATGTTATATTATTGGCAGCAGTGGGTTGGTTTTGTAAGCATCATATATCTCAGTCCTGATTCCTGTTAACCTTTTGGAGAAGGGTGAATTTTAGCTATTAAACACAAGCATTAAGCAATCTACAGAAGTGGTGTTGGGAGTACAGCCCATACAGCCCTTCTGCATTTTCCCAGGGGCTGTCTTTTAAGTCATCAGAAATTCTCCTTGCCCTGCTTTTTTTTTGATTGACATGATAATTCTCTAGGTTAGTTTCCTTTTTCCTTCTATCTGGGAATACTTCACGCAGATTGTCAAACTTCCCATGTTTATATTATGGAAACAATTCTATTGATTCAAACTACCCCTTACAGAAGCAAGGTCACGTTTATATGTGCACGCGCATTTGGATGCTGAAGAAAAAAAGATCTGGCCACATTAAAGTTCCCTTAAATTTAATCTCCAGAGTTTAAATACATTTAATGGAAACTTCCTTATCTGTTTGTTTGGATTTTGTAGTACCATCCTTCTTGGGCTGGTAGTCTGCAAACAAGATTGTTGAGCTGTTCTTTTCATGTTATAGATTATCTGTGCTGATGATGACATACAAATTTTACATCATTGTGGGATGTGCAAACAGGAATTTGACCTGTGAAATATGAAGTCTAACTTGTAAGCTCGGTAGTGCTGGAGTGTCCAGGTGCAGATCAACCAGAAAGAATCTGCAGGAAAGCAAGGGGAATGACCAGAACTCAAGAAAATATGACCTATAAAGAAAGGTGGTATAAACTGTACTTGTTTAATACACAGTAGTGAAGATTGATTGTAGGATTACACTTATGGAAGACAGAAGGTACACAAAGATCTTCACATGACCTGCTCCAGAAAGAAAGAACAGTCTGTTTTCCATGTCTGTGGTAAGCAGAGCAAGAAGTAATGGGCTTTAACTGCAGGAAGAAAAAATAAATAGGAAAAACTATCAAGCAATGTGAGCATAAAGCATTAGTTTATATTTTGTGAGGAGGCTGTGGCTTCTCTATCACTGAGAGTCTTTAAGAGTGGGTTAAACAGCAAGAGTCTCGCAGAAGAGAAATACGCATTTCCAGAATGTGACTCATTTGACCTATTTCCATTATACACTGGAACAAGATGAATCACAGTGTGGATTGCCAGCTTCTCTTTAGGGACTGTGAAAGACTCTAGAAAGCTGGTTCAGGTGCAGAGGTCTATTTTGTATATGTCTAAAACTAGGTGAGAACAATACTGTGTGTTGTGTCAGTTAATAGCATAGACACAGTTGATTCTGTACTGGTGTACATGGCTTGACTAGAGAATCTCT